GAGCAAGAATATGATATTGCATTCATCTATGTCCTCTTACCCAAATAGGGATACACAAGCTTTTTCTGATTGGATAATCAAAATTGGAGATGGAAAGCTTGGTCAAGTGATTGGTGGAATTGCTGACGTTGAAATTCTTACTGGATTCTTGATTCTTGACATAAGTTATCCTCTCAAGAGTATAGTACTAGAATTCACTTATCTGAAGTTATTGGAGAATATGAAAAAATATTCTTTTTTTAGGATTAGGCACCATTAGCATCCACTCTCGAAGTTGTTGAAATGGTAAATGAGTTTGTCTTATTCCTCATTCTCAGTGATGGAAAAGGAGTAATTGAGTTATGGTTCTTAATGGCAAGCAGATGCCAATGTAGGTGTTGATGCTTATTGGATAACATTTGAATTTTTGAATGAAATCAAATGTCTAGATGTTCGGGGATCCCAAACCAATTCAAATAATAGTTTTGAAAAAAGGATACTGATTATGTTATTTGGATTGTATAATGGTACAAGATTAATTGTTGAAAAGGTACGAAAAAATGTTAACCGTGCAATCGTGGTTTCGAGAAATCGAGACGGGGAAAAGGTTTACATACCTCGGATAAATTTGGTACCATATGATCCAAGGCTATCCCCTAAAATTTCAAAAAAGACAATTCTCAATAGTTTTATGTTTTGCTATGGCTATTAACAAAAGTTATGGTGAAACATTATCTTTTGTTAGATTATTTTAACTACGTCATTATTCACTTATGATTAATTTTATGTTGTTATTTCACGAGTGAAGAAAAATACATAATTAAAAATGTTTATTTTAGACGACAATAGAAACTCTTGCAACCATACCAAAAATATTGTATACTCTGAAGTGTTTCAAAAAATTTGGATTTTAATAAGTCTTTGTTTTGTGGAGTATATACTTTCAATTCTTCAAATATTATTTATTCTATTTTGATGTTGATGTATATATAGTATTAAAAATCATGTAAGAAATTTATTTTATTTAATCCACAAAAAATAATACATGAAAAAAAGAATTGAAAAAAAAATTGTTCGCCCCCGTGCATGGCACGGGTCAAAATACTAGTTAAAAATTATTTAAGAGATTGTGATGTAAAGCTCTCAAAGATGGCATTTAATTGAAGCTTTGATGAAAGAATTTAAAACCAAGTGATTTCGTATCAAAAATGATAGCTAGGGCTAGTCAATAGTTTGACATATTTCGCAATATAGTTTGAAATATAGCTTTTATAAAAACTGGCATTCGTGCCTTTTGTCAACTCATGCGTTCGTAGTCAAGAATGTTTGATTGATAAAATAATGCAATTATATTATCATTGACTTTTAAATACTTAAATACTTTCTCTAGTCTTAAAATCTCTTCTTTTTTCATAATTTGTAGTCAAAGTTTGTTAATGTTTGACAAAAAAAATCAAAACATGAAAAGTTTTTAGGAATGGAGTGGGTACATGACTTTCATTTTTTTATTTCTTTGGTAATTTGAATAAAGAATAGAAAGCCTTCAATTAACTAAATAAGGGCTAGTTATGGTCATCTAAAACTAAGTACTGGAATTGCTGGTCTATTACCGGCACCGTATTATTTAATACGGAGTATACATTTAATATTTTTTATATTACTCATACTTGGAGTGAAATTTTGTAATATAGGTTTCATATTTAAAATGCACAGAATTTAATATAATACACATCATGAATTATACAGAATTTTTTATTTTCACATGAAAGATGAACTATTTGAAAATAACTAGTAAAAAAGTACCGAGAACCACTTTGGAACCAGATTGGACCGGACATTTAGTACCTGTTCCACCTAAATAAGTACCGGGGAGTGGCAACTCCACCACTATAGTGCTTCTATGTAAGTCTCTCATAATGGGCAAAGTGCCCGTTTGACACTCATTAGCTTCAACATTTAAATGTAGTGTATGTAAGTTTTCGATGTTAATTTGTGAAACTTTAATTCAAAATATTGTTTAAAACATTAATTGAAAATATTATTTTCCCAAATGCAATTTTATTTTTTAAGGATTGTCTTCATTATAAAGATAAGTTAGTTTTAGGTGTATTTTTTGTTATTTTAACCTCATTCCTTTAACATGAAGTACTAAGAAAGGTGGCCAATTCCAACTAAATTTGGACGGGAACACAGAATTTTAAGATATAGGCCCCGTTTGACATATCGTTAGAGATTAACGTTAGCGTTTTGAAAAGATTATTCGACGGTAGCTTCTAGCGCTAGCGTTTTCAGAATTAATCTATACCATTAAAATTTTATCCAAAACGATATTGCTAATCGAAAATGTTATTCCCAAAAAAGGCCATTGTAATATTTTCTTAAGATAAAAAATAAATTAACATTGGGAAAGATTACAATTACTAAATTGGTCATACAATAATGATTGAATTTCGTCATCTTGAATTGCATCTCTTACTTCACCTCAAACTCAATTGAATGTTACATGCACCATTTTCTTCAATTTACACCTCTCATGCTTTTTGTCAACCCATAAGAATTCTGTAGTACGGAGTATATTATAGTTTGAAGTATAATGGCAAATATTACGAAATGTCTACAAAGATTATACTCTTTCTTTCACCTTCCAAGTACCCGGAGTAATTATATAATTATGATTGTTTTGATAGATTTAAAAAATTAATAAATTTTTATATTTAGGCATATTTATATTTTCATATTTAAAAAAAATATAATGGTCAAATTGAAAGGAATAAGGTAGTGTTTGAGAATTAGCCTTTTTATTAAAATCTTGTATTTCAATTTCAAAATTTGAATTTTTGAATTCCAAATGAATCTACAAATGAACTTTGTAATGAATTAGATGAATTTATCTCAAATCTAAATTTTTGTGATTTGTAAAACATGAAATTTTTTATGCAAATTTGGATTTGAGGTCTAAATTCTAATATCCAAACACGTCAAAATAGTATTTAAGAATTTATGGTCAAATTTTCTTGACCCTGGAACGAAGTCATGGCCCAGCCTCCAAATTCAGAAGCCAATCAAGCTATCGGCATTAAGCTCCATCTTCTGATGGATATCGGGCCTGTCATTGGGCCGGGAGGTCCCAAGAGTTCCATTACGACGGCCCAAGAAAAGTAAGAGTGTTTGGCGCTCATAGTTAAAGTAAAGTGGGCTGCGTAACCCGGTTAGGTAACGAGCCGAGCTCAATATCAAACCACACGAAAATTTGGCATAGTACTACCAGTGGCGACCAGCGTTGAATCTACATATATCGTGCCCCCGCGATTGTATTCTGATTTGTTGCAGACTTTTTTGTAGAATGCATTTTCCAAAAAAAAAACAATAATTCAGAGAGTTTAAGTGTTTAACGACAACGTATTGCAGCGGCGAAATGATATTTCTATTTTTTTTATTTGTTTAATGGTTTTGACTTTTGAGATCAAGAATGCTTTTTGGAGTTTTTACATTGAAAAAACAACCCAAAACGTCGTAGTTTAGCATGGACTTTTAGGAAGAAAAAAAAACAAAAGGCCGTAGCCATTCCTCAGTTTCTTGCTTCACTGGCCCACGGCCTCTCCGCCATACTATCATATCACATAAGTTTTTTCTTTAATTTAAAAGACTTTTTCTGTTTAATTAAATTGTTATATATTTCTTGACTAAACTGCAGTTCCTCCATTAATCAAATTCCTTCCTCTTTTACGAAGTATTTTTTCTTTCACGAAAATATTTCTCCTTTCTATTTAAAACTATTTTAACCCGGCGTTATTTTTCTTGACTTACCTTTCACATCATACTTTTGACTAATATATACTCAACACATCTTACTTTTACCCATCACATCAAGGACAAAATTGAAATATCAACTACAAATATATATTCTTAGTAAAATAGGATCAGTTTTGGTGAATGAAGGAATTAGTTTGTTTTAAGTTTATATATTTGTTTTTCTTTGCTAAAAACAAACTGCAAATTAAAAACATAAAAACAATGCGGAGTATGTTCAAACTAAAAATTTTGATGATAAAATTATACTTCAAACTATTTAATTTTTATCATGCAAATGTTTCTTTGAGATAAAATTCATTAGCTTTTTTTTTTATCATTTTATAGTCTTTATACAAAAAAAATCTGAAAGCGCAGCCCCCGAATCCCCATAGCCTAGCAGCCTCCCCGGCCCCCCGAGAATTTGATCCTGGCTCCACCACTGGCAGCACACGAATTAAATACCAGGCATACAAAAATGTTAATTAAGACTATAATTAGCAGGCGTCTCCTCCACTGTAAGGCATGCTAAATCAAGCTAATACAAGCATACAATTAAGAGCTATATTCCACTCTAGATTGTTCTTATTTGCATTCTAGTTCGTTCTTCGTATCGCCATAATTATTGAGCTAAATCCCATCATCTTCAATTTGTAAAGTACTCCGTATTCCGTAATACGCACCAAGGTTAATATTAGCTCTCCTACTAAACTAATTTCAATTCTGAATTACTTTTATTTTGTAGATTTAATTACTCGTAATTCGTACAGTGAAGGTAGCTGCATAGCTTGCATCAACTGCCCGCCCACGTACCTTCACATTTATTCTAATTTACTCGGTCTCATTTGAATCTTTTTTTTATTGACGTTGAATCTTTTTTTATTGACGGTAAAATATTTGATCAATTTTATTTTTTAATTAATTTATTTGATAGTAGTTGTGAAATTAAAAAAATAAAAATTATATATTTAAAACTAAGTCAAAAGATATATATACAAAACAAAATGTGACATGATTATTCTATTTTATCAAATAAATAAATAAAATAATAAAATAAAAAAATATATAAACATTTACTCCATTTAATGGAGTGGAACGGAGGGAGTAATTTTCTACGTGCTATTACTTTTTTCTCGGGCCTACATGGAGAAATTTTGAACCATTAATAATGACGACCTTAATTAGCTGCTTAAGCCTACAAAGTTTTGCCTACTTATGCATTATACCCGAGTCGTGACCGAACACTAATCATCCTCTGAATAGTATAATTATACTATAATTAGGATTTGTTAGCTGGATCAGTACTTAAGTACAATATACAATGGTGTTGTTACGTCGCATGTTGTTTTTGTACAACTGTTCTGTTCTTCTTCTTGTGTGGTGGGTCGTCACGTCTTCGGGCGGCGGCGAAGCAAAGATAAAGTTGCCGGAGGGTGTAGTTATTCCGGCGATCTTAGGGTTCGGGGATTCCATAATAGATACAGGCATGAACAACTATATCCCCACGGTGGCCAAGTGCAACTTTCCGCCGTACGGGGAGGACCTTCCGGATGGAAACCCCACCGGCCGCTTTTGCAATGGCAAGACCCCTATTGATCTTATAGGTACCTAATTTTTTGTTTGTTTTTTTTAATTTTATATCTACCTAATTCAAGCTCTATCCCTTCTTACTCCCTTCATGTTGTAAATTATTTCCTCTTTCATCTTCCATGTTTTGAACAAAACACTTTCACTTTGAGATAAAATGAATATATATAATCTAATAGGTTGGTTAAGAATTAATATGGATAAAAGTGACTTTCTAATAGAAAACATAAAAGTTTTTGAGACGAGTGGAAAAAAAGTGAAATGTTTTCAGGAATGGAGGTAGTATATATTACTCGTATATTCAATCGATCTTGTGTACTGATATAATAAGTTATTTCAGTGACTTGTATCTATTTTTTCTCTTCGACTAGTAAGTTAAAATTTTAAAATAACTGCCAAAAGTCAATATAGAAACTATTTTCAAAAACAAATAGAGTATATTTTATTTTTTTTACTTTCACTTCTTCACATGCCGCCATACTTTTAGGTGTTGGAGAGTATTAATTATACTAACTCTGTCTTTTTTCGTGTGATTTTTATTTTTTTCGGTCAACATGAATAGTCTCTTATTTAAAAATAAAAAATATATAGCATAACAATTAGATATAATAATATTTTGAAAATATTTTACAAGTTAAAATTTAAAAGAAAAATTATTTTAGTATCAATGTCTAAAATAAATCTTATTTAATTAATAGTAAAAGTTTATCAATTTTGACTGCGATAAGTCAAAATGGACAAATATTCCGAGAGATATAATATATTTTTCAATTGAGTGATCGATGTTTACATAGTTCCAAGTTCTACATTTAAAATGTGAATCTTCTCGCAATTTTTGGACTCGAATTATGTAAATCATGATTTCGGTAGAAATTTTATGGAAATTGATCTGCTTTTCATTAATCACAAACCAATATATATATATACACACACACACACACACACACACACACACACACAAGATACCATGTAGAAATTTTACGGAAATTGATCTGCTTTTCATTAATCACAAATCGATATATATTATAAAAGTACAAATGAGCTAATCCCATAGGCCCAATAACGTACACAATATCTACGGTCCAATTAGAAATACCCGCTAACAATTTCCTTAATAATCAGCTGAGGAGCTTGGAGTGAAAGAGACGGTGCCTCCTTATTTGGACCCTAATTTGAAACCCGAAGATCTAAAAACGGGTGTGAGCTTTGCATCCGGAGCATGTGGATATGACCCTCAATCCTCACAATATGCGGTAATAATTAAAGAGAAGCTGTAATGTTACACCCGTTCAAGTGGTGTAATATTGCGACCCGAGTGGCTTTGAGGAACTTGCAGTACTCTGATTCGTTCGTAAAATTGACGGGTCCTACCTCGCCTAATCCATCACCTAAATCCCCTGGATCCATCAATTTCACTCTGCCCCACCCCTGCACCCCCTAGATCTCCGATTTGGGACCCCATTAATTTTACGAACGGAACATCGTAGGTTCTCCAAAACTACTGGTGTCATTTTTGTCGGTATAAGATTGCAAGTTATCATAATTAAATACTTGTTTTCTTTTCTTTTTTTTTGTAAAAAAAAATCACAAAAAATAGAAACATGAAATGAAGATATAAACTAAAATAAAGAATTGAAACGAAATCCTTTTATTTTATCTAACCTTCTCGATGTAATATATATTGGTATAAAAATGATTTTATTAAATTTATTATGTTGAGAATTTTTAAAATTTTGTTTCATTATAGTAACATTAATAGAAATTGAGAATAAATATGGTTCAAAATTTCTCTAATTTTGAATCAAATTGGGCAAATATAATACACTGGAACGGATACAAGTGTGAATAAAAGAAAGATACTCCCTCCGTCCCCAATTTGATTACAAATTGCGGTTTACGGAGTAAAATTTCCTACTTTTTGAAATCATTTTATTTACAAATTGATATATCAATAAGATATAAAAATTACATATTAAAAAACTACGTCAAAAATTCTACTCCGGGTACAAAACAAGAGGTGAGAAGAATATTTTATTTTATCAAATACTTAATGAAATTGCATAAACAAACAGAACTTATCGAGAGGAGAGAGAGAAAAAATTGTAATCTATTTAGGGACAGAGGGAGTATTGTTTTTTTATTTCGCTCCCTTCGTCCGTAAATAAACTTCTCGTTCACTATTCACAAGGTCAAACTTTATTTACTTTGTTGACCTATTTTTGTCAACCATTTGAAAAAATAATATAGTCATGTCACGTCGTGTTTTTTAGATCTTTTGATATAATTTCGTAATATGTAATTTTTATTTTTAAATTTTACACCATTTTTTTATATAAAATAATTTAAAAATAAATTCAATCAAATATCGTAACGCGCAACGAGAAATTTATTTGCGGATGAGTAATAATCAACATCATGCATGTTATGATGTATGTATATCACCAGTCAACGATCTCGTTGTCCGAGCAATTAGACTATTTCAAAGAGTACCTGGAAAAGCTGAAGGCGGCATTCGGAGAGAACGAGACAAAGTTTGTAACGGATAACAGTCTCTTCTTAGTGGTTGCCGGCAGTAACGACATTTCCAACACTTACTTCGGCCTCGGCCTCCGTCGGCTACAGTACCCCACCGTCGATTCCTACGCCGATTTCATCGTCCACAAAGCCTCCACTTTCATTCAGGTAAGTCCATAAATATTTTTCAATAATCAGGAATTGTACGAGCTAAATATTTCAATAAACATTTAGTTGAAAAATTTACATTTGAAAAGCTAAGTTTTATCATATGATCATAGGAATTGTACGGGCTGGGAGGGAGAAGGATAGGGGTATTCAGCCAGGTGCCGATAGGGTGTGTTCCGGCGGTGAGGACGTTGGCCGGGGGAAGCGAGAGGGACTGCGCGGAGAGGTACAACGACGCGGCGGAGCTGGCCAACGCCAAACTCGCGGCGGAGATCGAGTCACTGTCGGGGAGCTTGCCGCCGGACGCGCGGGTGGTTTTCATCGACATATACCGGCCGATGGTGGACGTGATCGGGAACCCGGGGAGGTACGGTCTGACGGAAAGCGGGAGAGGGTGTTGCGGGACGGGGGATCTGGAAGTCTCCTATTTGTGTAACAAGTTGTCGGCGACAACATGCGAGGAACACGACAAGTATCTGTTTTGGGACAGCTTCCATCCCACGGAAATAGGTTACAAGATTCTCATTGACCAGATTCTGCCCGGCTACGTCTCCCGTTTCATTTAGCAGCTGCTCCCTACGTACGTACCTGGTAGCTAGCTAGCGTCGAATCCGCTCAGATGTTCTCTTTTAATCATACATGGTTACGGGATGCATACTTTGCACTAAATAGTACTCCTTACTAAAACTTATATCCTTTCCCAATATACTTCCTCCGTCCCAAAAAGTTTGTTACGTTTAGAAAAAACTGCGTCCCGTAAAGTCTGTTATATTTCTATTAAAAAACCACTTTTACCCCTTACTTTTTCATACCCTACCTATCACATCATACCTTTTTTCTAATAATCTATCCATCACATCCTACTTTTACCCATCACATCAAGGGTATTTTTGGAAAGTCAATACCAAAATATCACTCCCTTAATTTTCCAAAAAGTCAAACCGTCTCATTCTTTTTGGGAAGGAGGGAGTATTACTTAAATATTTTTATTTTCTAAATAATATTTGAATAATGTCTAGTGACGAGAACAATATCCAGTGATGGTGGATATTTAGTTTGAATAATGTCCAGTCGCGCTGGACATTTGCTGGAAAAATGACCAGTGGACATTAAAAAGTGATGCTACATAGGGAAATAAAAATATATACTACTTCTTCCGTTCCATAAAACCCTTCACCTTTCGTTTTTTTATTCCCTAAAACACTTACATTTTCTATTAAAAAACCAAAAGAAAGGAGTTGATGTTACACTCTTTGCCAAATAAATTGTCACATAACTAAGTTTTGGTAGCAAAATGGAGGGAATGAAATATGAAGAAAGGAAATCTAACTATATACAATGCTAAGAGAGCATTGTGAAGTGTTCCAGCTCTTTTTGCTGCTACAGTGTGGGCCGGCTGGGCTGCCTATTATTGGGCCGAAAATAAGTCCAATATTGACACTATTTTTAGGGTCTAATGCATGCTAGGTGTGAGACACAATAAAGCAAACAAATCACTTTATTGAGCCACGTGATACATCTCAATTAAGCCACCCTTTACATCAAATCAAGAATTTAAAAAGATTTGCACAATCTAAGCATTTAATGTGCTTTCAAATACTTGATTCACAAAGCCATTATATATTCACTATGCCTGAATAATTTTGAATGTAACCGTATCATCACACCAATTCCTTCTTCCACCATATTTGAGTTCTTTTGCTTCCTTGAGATGGCCGAAAATTCTCAAAGAAATTCTAGGATAATGTTTACTCCGATTTCCGAGCTTGACAACAACCGTACAACTTGGATTCTCAAGTTAAGGGCTATTCGTGTCTACTTTGTTCTAAGGTGGGCAAGAGGCGGAGATTCTATGGAGATCGTCTTTCACGATGAGCATGTATTTTATTCAATAACTTATTGCATTTTTTATCAATTGCATTACTTACATTGCATCACTCAAATTGCAAATGTGTCACTCAAATACTCATAATATCTACCTTTTCTACAGGGAACGAGGATTCATGCACATCTCAACCACCCGGAAAAAAAGAAGTTTCATAAAATACATCATTAAGTGACATACGGTTTGAATTTATTTTGAAAGGATTCAATGTTTTTCATAATTTAAATTATTTAAAAGTTGTTTTTAGTAAAAGACATTTGAAATGTCATGGAATATAAAATACAGTTGTTTTTAGAAAATAACATCAATAGAATATGAAAATGTATATTTTCATCAAAATGTTAATTCATTCCCTATTCTAAGTGTGTGTGGCCCAAGGTAAGGTGGCGTGCAAAACTTAGTGTGTGGCCCAAGGTGCCATAAATGTGGTAATTATCACATCTTATTTAAAATAAAAAAATTATGGCTGAGAAATAAAGTTGGGTGCGGTCTAAAATGTGTTGAGTTAACCAAAGCCACACGCCTAGCCTATTCATGGCATTTAATGTGATGCACAGGCTTCATTTAATGTGGTGCAGGGCTTTCATTGCTCAACTAATACTTTATTCTTTGCTTTTATAAACACACTTTTCTTAAAATTTAATTATATGAGAATTAATGGGAATTTCTTAATTTAATTATTCAATTTAAATATGCTAATCTACACGAAATCATATTATCGTGTAATGAATAACAAAAATTACACTTTAATCAAAGTATTAATATATTCCAAAAAGCGTGCATGTTGCAATTTAAAAAAAATTATTTAAAAAATTTATTTTTTGTTTAAAAAAATAATATATAAAAAGTATTTTTTTGTATAAAGAAGATATTGTGGGTGTGTGCATTTATATCTGATAACAACTTCGAAATTAATTTTTATCTGATAACAAGTACTGATGACTTCGTAAAAAGTGTTACGCAGTATCATTTAATGTGATAGTACATCTATTCCTACTAAGCATTCTTGACAACTTCATTAATGATAAAGATATTTAAATAAACAAGAAAATCTAAGTGGGTGGCCCAAGGAGAATGTGGCGTGCAAGTCTGATTGTGCTGCCCAAGGTACAAAAAATGTGGTTATTATCACATCTTATTTAAAATAAAAAAATTGTCTGAAACTAGAGAAGTGTGCCACCTAGAGACTTATGAGTTAACCAAATCCCTTCTTTTAAATGACAGTTATTATCCAAACATCTATCAAGAAAAAGTCATTTTATAAAACCCACCTAGAGCCACACGCCTCTAATGATAGCCTTTACATTTATAAACACAATCTTCTTAAAATTTAATTATGTGAGGATTAATTCGAATTGTGAGGTTCAAAGTGATTGTATTTCGTTGATATTTAATATTTAAAATAATAAAAACTCTTTAAGAGTTACCGTGTAATGAATATATAAAAAATTATACTTTAATCAAAATATTAATACATTCCAATATGCTTGCATATTCCAATTAAAATAAATTCCTTTTTCTTTTAAAATAAAATTAGCTATAAAAAATATAGATATTTATTTTTTGTGTATATAGAAGACATTGTGTGTTTAAAGAATTTATATCTGATAAAAACTTCGAAATTAATATTTTAAAAAAAACGAGTGACCCAATCCATTATTTAATGCATCTTACAAGTGACCCAATCCATTGTTCTTAATATAACAAGCATGATATTGAAGTATTATTGTTAATGTTTGAAAAATATTTTTTTAGTAAATTACACAAAAAAGCCGTGGACTGAATAAGCTACCAAAATTGAATTTATGTTTTTAAAAATCCACACAGTTGTGTTATACACTGAAAATATGCAGTTTCGATATTTGAATAGAAAAATTTCATAATGACTTTTATAATATTAATTTGTTGTGCTTCAATTAACGAGAATATGGGATTCAAAACAGGATACCTAAAGTCTTCTCTCCCGCGCAATGAGAAAGCTTACCAAAACTGAAAGAATATGTTCAATGCATGATTCAGAACCAGAATCAGACAAAGGTAATTTCCAATTTAAAATAATTAATCAAGTAATGAATAAACTAATATTTTTTTATATAGATATAGTTATATTATCTGTTTTAAAACCATGCCAGCTTTGATAAATATGTAAAAATTAAATATCCTGCAAAAACAAATCAGTGTATGTGCAATTGAAACTTTAACATGTTCAACCCTTCAATGAAACATGTCCAATAAGATTCAATGGCTTTAATGTATACTCCCTGTTGTGAGATTATTTTTTTAATGAAACGTTAGTGTTCTGGAAACATAAATTTAAGCTCAGATTGTGATGTACTCCCTCCGTCCACAAATAAACTTTACATTACGCGTTACGATGTTTGACTGAGGTTATTTTCAGATCATTTTATATGAAAAATGGTGTAGAATTAAAAAATAAAAATTACATATTAAAAAACTATATCAAAAGATCTACAAAACTAGAGGTGACATGACTATATTATTTTATCAAATGGGTGACAAAAATAGGCCAACAAAGTGAATAAAATTTGACCCTGTGAATAGTGAACGTAAAGTTTATTTGTGGACGGAGGGAGTAATTCATTTTTTATTATAAGTTCAGGTGAGTAGAAAATATAATCGTAATACACACAACTTTAAATACTTAGTTAATTATTCCTTTTAAGAAATATTATTATAAAGGATTGATTCTAACAATATGTAACAAAATAAAATATATGAGTGTTTTCAAGGATTTAATCAGAGAATAATTAAAATCAATAAGTTATTTAAACGGTTTATGGTTCATAAAGGATTTAATCGGAAAATGTTTTTAAAGTTAAGAACTACATCTAGAATTTTTTAATCACAAAAAAATCAAAATTGCATATTTATAGATAGAGAATACTCAATCAAATTTAATATTTTTTTGTCAATATGAAATCACAGATCTGAAGTTCTAAGAACAAATTTACAATAATCCTTAAAAAAAGTGTCTTAAAACAACTAAGAGATCCTATGCATGTGGGTTTAGTAACTCGAATCATATTAAAAAAAAAGATTTCCCTTTTAAAACTGAAATTTCTAATAAGACACACCAAAGAACATGCATGTGGGGTGAAGATCTAAACATTTAACAAAGAAGAAGAAGGGAAAATAAACGGATCTAAAATTTCACAATAATCTATGAAAATAGGGAGTAATTGGTCATGAAGAAATTTTAATGCAATAATAAAAAATAATTTTCTCAGAGATTACCCCATATTTGAATTAACATGCTGTCGTTTAAGGACCATAGATTCAAATCGCCGCCGTTTCCATCAAAAAAAATATCCGTGGTATCCTTTTCTAGATAGGTGTGGTGAGGCGTAGGAGACGACGGAAAATATTAACCGCCGGCAACTGGAGTACTGTAAACTCCATCGCCGGCGATTGAAACTTTTCTAGAGAGATGAGGGTCGGCGTAGGAGACGGCGGAATATCGGGCAGAGTGCGGTTTGATAGGTTTACCCGAATATAAACCTAAGTTGGGCCAGGGCCGGTTTTTGGGCTGTGGGTTTTTTTAAAATGTTTGATAAGGCATTTTTAAACATTAAATTTTAAAATTGGGCCTAAACAGTGGGCTGATAAATTACACTTTGGCCAAAATAGTAAATAAATGGTTGTGGTATGTCAAGAAAATTCTTTATATTTTATTAATAAATAGAATTTTTTATTTACATATAATGGAGATGTGTTGGATTTGCAAAAATTCACCAACTTATTTCATTTTTTTTCATATGTGAAGAAAAGTTTTTATCTTTTATTTATAAATGAAATTTTTTATTTACATATATAGGAGGAATTGGAAGTTTAATTGAACCATGTTACAAGTGCAAGAGTAACGAAGATTCACTCGATATGGAAATGTGTTGGATTTGCTTTTCTGTTTCTGGTCATCTTCGATGCCTACAAATTGGTGATGTTGGATGGGTTTATATTTTATTTGTGATGTTTGTGCCGTTTTGTCACCTCCACCAACAACTTCAATTCCAATGTTGATTACACCAATTCCGCCGCCTTTGCCACTTTTGGTTCCTGTACCGCCGACGATGGAAGTGACACCTACACCGCCTACATTGAGAAGATCTAAACGTCTTAAAACAGCAAATAAAAAATATTTTAATGAGACGTATGTTACTTATTGAAAGACAAATCATGTATTGGATTATGATCGGTGTTTTTGTTTTTTGTACTAATTTCCATGTTAGCTACCCTTAAAGTCTCTATTATGTTCTTCAATGAATGTATAATGATCTAATTATTGTATGATGTATGTCACCGTTATTGACATCAATGAATGTATTTCAAGATATAATCTTGCAATGCCTATTATATACTCCGTATATATTGCTGATTTTGGAATGACTTTTATTCGTGATACAAATATCTTATATTCACTTATTAATAAAAGTCAAGGGCAATCATTGTCGCATGTTGGGCTTTTATTGAAGAAGTCAGTTTTCAGCCATGACCAGCTTTATGTAGCGCTTTCACGTGTCACAAATCGCAGAGGTTTAAAGATCTTGATATGCAATAAAGACCCAAATAAGATGAACCAAACCGCCAATGTAGTTTACAAAGAAGTTTTCCAAAACTTATAATGTAATAGTTTCACAATTCATATCATTCATATTTTCTACGATTAAATATTTCATTCTACAGTCTTATGTTAATTTAATCATATCGAATTCCAACGACAATACTTTCACTCATTATTTAGCTTTTATTTGGGCCGTGCAACGCACGGGTTCGAGTCTAGTTTAAACAATACAAGCATGCCCGAAATTAAACATAGTATTCAAATTGTGTAAACTCCATAGTCCCTACTGCATCTTTCCCTCATCACATCCTTAAACATGGATAAATATATTGAAAAATAGATAAAGAATGTATAGTAAAGATACTGAAGGTTTATAAATGAGATGCACTTTTCTAGGTATGAGTAGTTTAATTTTAAATTTAGTTTCAAAAACTAAGTTTTCATCTTCATTTAGTTTTTTATTTTAAGATTTATTTTTAAAAATTGATTTGTCTTTTATTTATGCACTTTCAATTTGTTCTTGATGATTGATTTTTTATTCGTTTCTAATTTTGGTTTTAAAAATTATTCTAAAGTAATAAAGTCTTAATGATTGATTTTAATGACTAATGAGAGTGACTTTGTTGAGAATATTAATTATTCTGTACTTGTGAAGATTGTTAGTACAAAGATGATATTGAGGCTTTTGTTTAAAACATTGTCACAAGGATGAGTTTTTTTAAATAGCGATTATACTCCCTCAGTCATGAAAACTCTTTCCACTTTTTTTTTGTCCCATAAACTTCTACTCTTTTTTATTAAAAACCACTTTTACCCCTATTAATTCTTAACCTATCTATCACATCATACATTTTTACTAATAATTTATCCATCACATACTATTTTGACCTATCACATCAAGTGTATTTTTGGAAAGTCAATATAAAAATATCATTTTCTTAAATTTCTAAAAATCAAATTAAAATGAGAGCATTTTTATGGGACGGAAGAAGTATATCTTTTTAAGTCCTATCTTACATAATTTTCCCTATATGTTAAATAATCTCTTACTAAAAGAAATTAAAGCCCTTATTGAATTACTCCGTATATTTAATGACTTCAAGTTAAAAGGACATGAACGGTCTAACATGACTCATACAAAAACTACCACGAAAAACGAATAAATATCTATTACCTCCGTTCTGTTATATTCGTTTACTTTTGACTTTTGGAATTGTTCATCTAAGCACTTTGACTCATCAAATTCTCTCAATGTGTAAGCCAAAATATAGTCATGTGTGATCTTGTTTGATTTGTCTTAACATATAGATTATTAATATATAATTTCTATAATTTTTTAATATACAAATTTCAAGATAAAATGGATTAAAGAAGTATATTGGATGGTGTGTAAAAATGAAAGTGGACAAATATAGTGGGACGAAACAGCCTTAAATGGAGTCATTGGAGTGTGTGTTGGACAAAGATCTTAAAAAAAAGGAAATATATGCTAAATTGGAGTAGAATCTATGCTAAAAAAAGGAAATCTATGTTAAATTGGAAGTTTCATGTTTTTATTTTTAAAATATGAATTTGCATTGTGATTATGTATGTGGTACTATATATATATAGACATTTCATAATGTTTTTTGATATTATATATTGGTATTATTGGCATTATATATGTATTTACTACTTCATTCGTTTCATAAAACTCTTCCTCTTTCGTTTTTTTTCAATTCCCTAAAGCACTTCCAATTTCTATTAAAAAACCACTTTTACATTTAGTTTTTCATACCCTACCTATCACATCATACTTTTTCAATCAAATTATCACATCTTACTTTTACCCATCACATCAAGGGCAAAATTGGAAAGCCAACCAAAATTGTACTTTCTTTATTTTGGCTCAAAGTCAAAATATGAAGTTTTTAAAGAAACGGAGGGAGTAATACTTTGGGTTTTTTCCCTTAAAACAAGGATGAACGGAGGGAGTAATCTCTTTCGATTGGCGTAAATTTTTTAAAGCTTTACGACAGCCGACAGGCACCCCATTGAGACCCTCTCACCATTTTTATCGACCAGGTCAATTTTCCTTTATCTTTTCCTACACTGTTTTAGTTGGTACACTTTTACATTAAAAACTTAATTAAATCAAAGTTTTATGAAATAATGAATACAAAAATATATACTCTCTCCGTTCCACAAAACCCTTCCGGTTTTGATTTTAGGGAAAAATAAGGAAAGTGTAATTTTGATTGGCTTTCCAATTTTGCTCCTGATGTATGAGAAAAAGTAAGATGTGATAGTTTGGTTATTAGTGAAAAAGTATGATGTGATAGGTAGGGTATGAAAAAGTAGGGATAAAAGTGGTTTTTTAATAGAAAGTGGAAGTGTTTTGTGGAAAGAAAAAAAACGAAAGAGGAAGTGTTTTGTGGAACGGAGGAAGTAAGTAATTAAAAATTATCAAAAAGTTAGAACAACAAAGTGCGTAATTATTGATGAATGGAGAGAGTATGAAATTATGTGTTTGGAATTTATGTAAAATTGAGATAATAAGGACCATATGAGTACTGTTTATTTAACACTAGACACTTTTCAAATTAAATGACTAACATCACTGGATATTGTTTCTGTCACTAGACACTATTCACGAATTATTAAAAGAATAAAAAAGTTAAAGTACATTGGAAAAAGATATACTTCGTATGTTTTAGTACTATTAAGTGCAAATTTCACTATTTAAAAATAAATAATATGTATATCTTTCTTGATATATTTTTATTGATAAATTGAAAAAATAATACTCATTCTGTCTGGGTATAATTTTTTTGTTTCTTCTTTTTCTTCATCTGGATTTAATCTTCTGATCTCTCTTGTATATGAATGTTTGGGTTAAATTTTCCCCCCTTTTCTACGTCCAAATTAAATTTCCCATTTCTCATAATTAAGTACTTCTTGTGTCCTAAGAAGATGTTCCCATTTATCATACTTAAGTACTTCTTTTTTCCAAAAATACCTTTGATATGATAGATAAAAGTAGGATATATATGATTAGTAGATTTTTACTCCCTCCGTTTTCAAAAACACTTCATCTTTCATTTTTTCTACTTCCAAAAAAATACTTCCACTTTCTATTAAAAACCACTTTAACCCTGACTTTTTTCATACCCTACCTATCACATCATACTTTTTCTTTAATAATTATCCATCACATCTTAGTTTTAACCATCACATCAGGGACAAAATTAGACGCTAACTACAATTTAACACTTCCTTAATTTCACACTTGGTCAAAATAGGAAGTCGTTTTAAGAAACATAGGAAGAATAAAAAGATATGATATGATAGGTAGGTTAAAAATTTGTAAGAGTAAAAGTGGTTTTTAATAAAAAAATGAAAAGATTTTGTGGGACAAGAAAAAAAGGAAAAAATTTAATTTTTGGGACAGAGAGAATATTAATGATTTAAATATGTAGAGAGATGACCAAAAAAATAAAAAAAGGCAAAACCTTTTAGGGATGAATAGTTTACCACAATACAATCCATTCTAGTTTATACTTGAGTACAAAGCTAAAAACAATTTCTTGGTAGTGTAGAATTGAAGATAGACATGAAATATATATTAAGCAAACTAAAACAAAATTACATGAAAATAAAGTCCAATAATAATGACTCCATAATACACAACCATTATACAAGGATGCTAATTAGCCGTGCGCTGTTTTTAGTAGCCTTAGCTTCTTTGAATATAATCAATGGATGGGTGTTTCTTAATTAATAATAGAAAAAATACAATTGTCCTCCTCCGATCCTTAGCTTGTGTGTAAAATATTTTTATTATGGGGAGTATTAATAATTTTTATAATAATAAGGATCATCTATCACTCCAATTAATTTCAATGGCTCAGAAAAATTGAGGGATATATTTGTCGATGACCTGACCAATTAATATTTTGTACCCTCTTTCCGTGGGATGATAGCTGTCCCAAAACAAATACTTGTCGTGTTCTTCACATGTCGGTAAAAATTTGTTACATAAAATTGCCACTTCCACGTTTCCTGTCCCGCAACACCCTTTTTCCACCTCCGTAAATCCTGCATGCATGTAAATTATTAATGGTAAAAAATATATATACTCTATATATTTTGTTTGAGAAAAGAAAAGAAAATTGTTTGGCCTTTGTAATTTAAGTAAGTACGTACCATATTGTTGAGGGTTAAGGATGATTTGAAGGAGGGGATCGTAGATGTTGACAAAAACAAGTTTGGTTCGGGGCAAGGTGTTGGAGAGGGAATGCAGGGCGGCGGAGAACTTGGCGTTCGCCAGCAACGCCGCCTGGTTGTAGTTCTCTGCGCAGGCCCTACTCTTCCCTCCCCCCAGTGTCCTCTGGGAGGGCAGGCACCCTATGGGAGGGACGCTGAACACCCCGATCCGCCTCGCCCCGAGCCTGTAGATCTCCTGGATGAAGGCGGAGGCGCCGCTAACGACGAGGTCGGTGTAGGCGTCGACGTCGTACTTCAGGCGGCGGATGCCGACGGTGAAGTAGGTGTTGGCGAGGTCGTCGCTGCCGGCCACCACCAGGAACAGGCTGTTGTCGGTTATGAACTTGGTTTCCTCCTCCCCAAACGCGGCCTTCAGCTTTCCCAGATACTCTTTGAAGTACTCCAGCTGTTGGGACAGCGGGATCACCGACTGATGAAATTCATTCATTGCATTTATTAGTCACCCATCAAAATAAAAAATAAAGACAGGTACCATAGTTAACCACGATTAAGGAATGTAATTAATGAATAATAATTAATTAATTAGGTACCACAATTTGTGGAGTTTGAGGGTCGTATCCACTGGCACCGGAAGCAAAGCTAACACCGGTTTTGAGATCTTGGAGTTTCAAATTGGGGTCCAAATAAGCAGGCACTAATTCTTTTATTCCCAACTCGTCAGCTGAAATCATACAAGTATATTATATTTATTATGCATTAATTGAAACCATTTTATGCAATAAATTGGGAAAAATATACATAGAAAAAACAAGATTAAAGAGATCTTCAAAATCTATAGATTTTTCCTTTGTACTTCGTATTTTCCATGTCAAGCCAAACATATATTGGAGCATATATAACTTCAATAGTACCCTTACCTTCTTAACATTCGGTTTCCTTTTCATTGCTAAAGCCCAAATTCATGAAACTACTTTCCATTTCCCCATTCAATAAATACGGATCGGAGTAAGTATATATTCTGGGGAACTGCCTACCCCCTAATAACCCACATATGTTTAGGGTCATACTAGTGCTACACTCAGAGCTGGTAAATCGGTCGGTCATGTTCGATTCGGGTTGGGGTTCGGTCATTTTCGGATTCGGGTTACATCGGGTTCAGGTAAGTTCGGATTTGGGTTGAGAATTCTGGGTTCGTGACTAGTGTCATCGGGTTCGAATCAACCCAACGGGTTATGAAATTTATTTTAAGAATATAGAAATTCATACTAGCACTTATATTTTACACCAAAAAAATATCTCATGTAATAAAATATCAAAATACATATATTAAACCTCTAAGAATATTTATTTTGAATTTTGAGTTTCTTGTTAGATATGTTTAACAATGTAATGAATAGTACGTAAAAAAATAAAGAGTGCATCAGTTTTTGAAAGAAATACGGAGTATAAGATACAGAGTAACTAATTAAGGGGCTGTTTGGCAACTTCTGAATGTGTAAGTGCTGAACCAGTAAGAGGTCTGAACCATTAAGTGTTGAACCAGTAAGAGGTCTGAACCATTAAGAGCTAGTATATTGCTTAACTATTCAGAGTCTAATGTCTAATCAATTCAGATAAGAGGTCTTAACCATTCAGACTCTGTATAATACTTAATCATTCAGAGGCAAATCTCTTAACCATTCAGACATCTGAACCATTAAGAGGCAGAAACAAACAGTCTGAACCATTAAGTGCTGATCTGAACCATTAAGAGGCTGAAACAAACAGCCCCTAAATGTGATATCTTTAAAAACTTGTATCAAAATATATGTTTATACATTAAAAATGAGTAATAATTAAGAAAAAGATAACACATAATCTTATTTTAATTACATTATTTTCCATATTAAAATACGTAGTTTCGTAAAATTCTTACATTAGCGGATCGGTCAGGTCGGGTTCGCCCTATTTTTAGCGGGGTTTCAATCATCTCCGAGTTTGGTCAACAAAATCTTTGTTCAAAACTTGATAATTTCAGGTCGGGTCTCAGGTCAAAAACGGGTTGGGTCATTTTTGCCGTGTCTAGTTACACCCACCAATTTGACCCGAGTAGATCGAGTCATAGACATTATTTATTTGTACGCAAATGTAGCATTAAAAAAATTATATTTTTGGCAACTCTGATAACATTACTCTTATTAAAATAACATTTTTCTTTAATTTAGGTTGTGAGTAAGACCAATCATAAGTCAGTTGAGGTAGCACAACTAAACAGATTTCAAACGGTGGGGTATTGAGGTAGCTCAACTGGTCAATTAGTCAATACGTACGTAGTGCAAAATACGGAGTAGTATTGTAGCCAGATTCAACTTCTAAAAATAGAAGATTCGAGTTATTTCACGTATCGAAGACAGTTTTCACTCTCTACTAGTCTAAGAGTGAAAATGGTGTTTGGGACTGTTTAGAAAAAAAATTTAAGCTTGTACTTTGTCCAAAAGTAATTTTATACGTTTGACAAATTTATTTCTCATTTCTGTTTATGGTATAAGGCTTCAAGTGCAAAATTATTTTCAAAAGTATTTGCTTTGCATTATGATTTTTGCCTTGTGAAGAATCTGTCAAATTGGTAGTTTTTTTCATTTGCATAAAGTTCAAAGTCAACTTTTTTTTTTGAAGAAATAGTCAACTTTTCTTTTTCTTTGTAACATGCATATTTCAAACTACTTTTCACGTTTAAGCAATAAATCTAGCTAGTAGGGGTATAGTACGTACATATAATATCAGTAGGGGTTTTGCCATTGGTAAAGCGTCCGGTGGGGATTCCGCCCATGAAGTCCTCCCCATACGGCGGGAAGTCAGCCTTGACCACCGTGGGGATGTAGTTGTTCATCCCCTGGTCAATGATGGAATCCCCGAACCCTATGACCGCCGGCACCACCACGCCCTCCGGCAACTTTATCTTCGCTTCGCCGCTTCTGGCGGCAAACCAGACGACTGCGGAGCAAAAGAACACATGCCGGACAAAACACCACGACCGCGGCGCCGAGCTGGAAGGCAGCACTAAATGGTTATGGTGGTGGGAAAACATTGTATTGTTTAGGGTTTATTGGGAGTGTCGGTCACTTGAAATGGTGCATATACATATACATATATACACACCTTTTTGTGCTTTGCTAAAGAAGGAAATGGGTGGATATATATAGCAACCAGGGGATATTATATTGTTTTTTCTTAGCCAAGCCAAGATAAGCTATATATGGTGATGGAGTCGCAATGTAGCCACCGCGACGGCGTCTTATCATTTAATTTTTCGGCCCCCATATAAGATTTTAATATTTGGATGAGTGACTTGTGCTAGCTATGGTTGGTATATATTGTTGTTGTTTCATGTATACATTGACATTAATTTTCATATGGTTCATGAACGCGTCTATCGTCGCGAAATTTCTACTACTCCCTCCGTTCTATAAAATATTTCTAGTTTTGATTTTTAAAGGATTTAAATGGAGCGTATTTTAGTGTTGACTTTCCAAAAATGTCTTGGATGTGATGGTAAAAGTAGATGTGATGAGTTGATTAATAGTGAAAAAATGTGATGTGATAGGTTGGTTAAGAATTAATATGGGTAAAGGTAAGTTTTTAATAAAAAGGTGATAGATTTTTTGGAACAGATGAAAAAATCTTAAACAAGTAAAAGAATGTTGAAAAAATAAAGTATTTCAAATGTTATTTAAAATCCCAATGGGTATGCAAATTTTATCCACGCATTTTACTGCAGTACAACTTTATTAAATTTATGGACTCAAGTGGTTACTTTTATTTCAGAAGCGATTATTATTATTATTATTATTATTATTATTATTATCATTATTATTATTATTATTATTATTATTGTTATTATTTTTATTATTATTATTATTATTTATATTATTATTATTATTATTAGTTGTTGTTTTATTTCTATTTCCTACTCCCTTAAAAAAACTTTCTGGTTCATTTTTTGTACATCCCTAGATTCACTTTTACACATATTTATAATATATGAGATTGTAGAAATTAATAGGAGAGTAAAGAGTTTTTATATTGAATTGGCTTGTGAATACAAAGGTATAACCCTCTTTATATAGGAAGAGAGTAAAGCATATAAGTAAACTTCTATTCCTACCATATTTCTATTTCTACTAAAAAGAGAAATAAATAAACTAGGAAAAATACTAAATCGAATCCCAAAGGGATTCAGTTTCCTTCTTCGATATGACTTCCTTCTTCTGTCGCCAACACCCCCCCTCAAGCTAGAACATGGAAGTTCAACATGCCCAGCTTGGACATCAAAATATTGAACAAAGCAACAAAGCTTGAGGAAGCCGCTGCCATCGTTGTCCGAGTGTCATCTAGACACTTCAGTTTTTTTCTTCAACGGAGACGCCAAGCTTTTCGAATCCGCCGAATAATCCGTCGAGTAAAGGAACGCCATTCTTTTTTAACCTTCACCGTATTCGAACAAATAGGGGGAACGCCATTCTTTTCGAACACCCTGAACGCTGACTTTTTTTTTCCCTGCTAAGGAAAGAGTTGTCTGTCTCTGTAGAACAACCCTTGTCGGACAACTTCTTCAAGATTGATGGTTGGGCGGGATTCCTCGACAGCAATGTTCTTCGTTGAAGGAATTCATGATATTCTTTAGTGAGGGAGAACAGTCAAAGAAAATCAAAACTTACAACATCCCACCGGTAGGCATTGAATTGTGTATGCCCACCGGCAGGGGAATAAGCGTGTTTGAGGTTTCAAGAATTCAGAACTTGCTCTGATACCATGTAGAAATTAATATGAGAGTAAATAGTTTGTATATTGAATTGGCTTGTGAATACAAAGGTATAACCCTCTTTATATAGGAAGAGAGTAAAGCATATAAGTAAACTTCTATTCCTACCATATTTCTATTTCTACTAAAACAAGAAATAAACAAACTAGGAAAGATACTAAACCGAATCCCAAAGGGATTCAGTTTCCTTCTTCGATATGACTTCCTTCTTCTGTCGCCAACAGAGATTAACCATAATTCTCTTTTATTACTAATAGAAATCATCCTAAATAGGACTAAAACATAGATAAAAGTACCAAAATAGGACTTTCATGTTTTTTTCCCGGAATAAGACTTTGCATTGTGGTAATGTGACTTTGCATTGTGGTAATGTGGCAGTGTACATGTGCAAATTACTATACTTTCTTGGTAATGTATATGACCATGTTTGGTAATGTAAGTCCTATTTCGGGAATAAAAACATGGAAATCCTATTTTGGTATATCTTCCATGTTTTAGTCCTACTTTGGTCTTTCTCCCTATTACTAATAGAAATTGTTTTGGAGGTATTTTAGATATTTTAAATGAAAAAGAAATGTTATATACTCCCTCCGTCCCTCAAAACCTTTCTCCTTTCTTTTTTCATCTGTCCCAAAAAACACTTCTCATTTCTATTAAAAAGTCACTTTTACCCCTTATTTTTTCATACCCTACCTATCACATCATACCTTTTTACTAATAATGTATCTATCAAATCATACTTTTACCCATCACATCAAAGGACATTTTTGGAAATTCAATACCAAAATATACTCTCCTTAAATCCTTCTTCAAAATCAAAACTCCCATGTTTTCTGCGACGGAGGGAGTAGAAAGCATTAAAAAATAAAGGAGAATTTTTTTTCCAAAGACAGAAGCAGTATTATATTGTTGTGTAATTAATTTCTCAACGCTACAAGGTGTATAGTAGTGCAATAAGTGGTTGAATTTATTTATCACACACAATTAATGACCTGCAGTCCTACGAGATTATGTACGTATTCACTCTCAAAATTACTTAAGTTTCTCATTTTCTTTTTCAGTCGTTCAAAATTGTTCTTCTCTTCTCTTTGAAATTGGTTCAAAAAATTTTTCTCACTTTTATACAAATCTAAACCAAATTGCGGAGTGTATAGTACTACCTCCGTCCCAGAGTATTTGTCCACTTTCATTTTTACACACCATCCAATACACTTCTTTAATCCATTTTATCTTGTAATTTGTATATGAAAAAAATTATAGAAATTATATATTAATAATCTATATGTTAAGATAAATCAAACAAGATCACACATGACTATATTTAGGCTTACACATTGAGAGAATTTGAAAGAAGAGAATTTTACCCCCTAGGATTTTTGTAATAACAACACACGGAGTAAAATGTATATACGGAGTACTAAGAGGATACTACCCCCGATCTCCTACTCTTGTGCAAGGGAGGGGGTAATGAATGTGAATGGATTTTATATTAACAAATTGTATTGTATCATTGTATGAATACAAAAAAATTAATGTATTGTGTATAATTTGTACTAATGAGGCAAATTATGTTACTCGTATATTATTATTATTATTGTTGTTGTTGTTGTTATTATATTATTAGGATTAGTATTAGTATTATTATTGTTGTTGTTGTTATTGTTATTGCTATATATTGTTGTCTATGTTAGGGATGGTGTTATTGTTTTTGTTATTATTGAAAGGACTTTTATCATTAGGTCATAACTTCAAATTTGAGAACATTGGAAATACAAAAGAAAAAGGATGATTCCCATCCTAGGGTTCCTCTGAATTAACTAATCAAAAATCATACGCAAAATTAGATGTCTTAGCTAACAAATGAGCAACTTGATTTGCTATTCTTCTAACCATTGACCCAAGGGAGATATGAAAATATTGACCTTAGCTTATTAACAACAAACAATCAGAAACACAGACAATTGGATTATCTTCGATCTTAAGTCTCAACCAATTGGATTATCATATCCCCCGGGCAAGAGAAATCATTCGCTATTACATGGGAAGGATGGCAGAGCATATATCAACCTTCACGCCACTGATCATGACATTCATTGCATTCAGCCACTACTACTATTATTAGAGCACTGGTAATGGTCATGAAGCCCCGGGGCTTCAAACCGGGGCTTCAAACTTTCTCTCTGCCACGTCAGCTTTAACTTACACCCAAAATTCACTGGAAATGGTTTTGAAGCCCCAGGGCTTCAAACTGGGGCTTCAAACCTTCATTTTTTACATTTTTAAATATACATCTTCTAAATTTAAATTTATAAATTTAAATTAATTTATTATTTTAATTAATCGCAATGACACTATTGCATAAAAAAAATTAAATTCATTATAAAAAAAATCTTACATTCATTAAAAAAACATTAAAAAAGATTACATTCCTTAAAAAAAATTACATAAAAAAACAACAGTACAAAGAAATCACTAATTATTCGAACGACTAAAGATATGCTCGATCAAATCCGCCGTTAGTGCATTGTGAATCTCTCGGCTTCGAATTTCTTGGCGGTTGCGTCGTTTCTTTTCTTCGGCGATTTCTTCGTACATAGGCACCTCCTCGTCCGGGTTGTATTGACAAATCGCAGACCNTTAAAAAAAATTACATAAAAAAACAACAGTACAAAGAAATCACTAATTATTCGAACGACTAAAGATATGCTCGATCAAATCCGCCGTTAGTGCATTGTGAATCTCTCGGCTTCGAATTTCTTGGCGGTTGCGTCGTTTCTTTTCTTCGGCGATTTCTTCGTACATAGGCACCTCCTCGTCCGGGTTGTATTGACAAATCGCAGACCTGTTATCCTCTATGATCATATTATGAAAAATAATACATGCGTACATGATATTCCTCATTTTTGTCTGAGAATAACATTTCGACGGACGATCCTCCGGTGTATAAACACACGGATTATTAAAGTAGTCGTTTAGAAGTGAACCGTGGGCGGCCGCTCGATCCCGGTTTAGACGTTGGCGTCGGGTCCGTTGTCGGGAGGATTCTGCTTCTTCTTGGCCATCTTCCCACCATTGAATACAATTCGTCGCGAAACAACGAAAAAATAAAGCTCTTCTTTCATCGTCGGAAGATTAACCCATTTTTAAATTATATTTTATAAATATTTATAATAAATAATAAATATTTTTGAGAGAATGTATAGTAATAAAGAGAGATTTGTGAGAGAGAGGTGTGAGAAAGATGTATGAGAAGGGGGGATTTTTTAGGTATCTTTTTTTAAATTTAGAATTTTTTTTAATGGGGGGGGGTAACAGCTATATAGCCGTTGGGAAGGGGAGCCGGCTAAAAAAACGTCCTCACGCCGCGTCAAACGTATGACGTTGGGCGACTCACGCCCCTATAACGCCGGAGGGGGCGGTGTTTCACGCCCCCGGGGCGTTAAACGCCCGTTCACGCCGGCGGGCGTGAGGACCATTACCAATGCTCTTATTAGGGGTTAATTTGACAGAGGTAGTATTCTAACTTTTGTACAATAAAAGATATACACCAAGCTCTTGTTTATGCGAACATAGACACTTGATGTCTGTGTGTATCTCTAACAAATACTTTTGACTTTTATTTTGATATTTTCATAGTTTTTTACTCCTATCTAGAGAGTTATCCCTTTATTGTTACTCTCTTCTTCCCAAAATGGATACCAGTGTTACTACTATTCTGGCCTCTCGCTATTTTTTTTTGTTTGTATATTTTCATTGATAACTTGACAAAATAAAATTTTTTTATCACCTTATATTTTATAGAAATTTTTATGTATTCTTGAAACGGTATAATTTATACTTTTTATTTCTGTACCAGTTTGTAATTAAAATAATTCAAAAGTGATAAAATTTTAGACATTGTTCAGAGCGTGGCATCCATTATGATACGAACGGAGTATTACGGAATATTATTATCATGGAGACAGTTCAGGTGACATGAACCCCTTATGTCATCCTATGACATGGGCCATGATTAGGACATGCTCCGTTCGAAAATTTGACCCTGCCCCCCTAACTCTCCGATAAACCCCCACCTCGGCTGGCCAGGCCCGAACGTATCCCGCACTCCCGTCAATTGCATTCCACAAGATTTAGTTGACTTTGAATTCAAAATTTGACTCTAAGGACAACTGAATCTTGTGGCATGTAATTGACGGGGTGCGAACGGTTTACCAAAGAATAGAAATTATCAATTTTTTCAAACAGAACAGCGTATGAATCTCGAGTCATCTTATGACATTGAATCTGAATACTAATTAACCAAGGTGGATTATCATTATTATAGCTGTACTAGCTTTCTCCTACTTGCAGCTGATATGGTAATAACTATCTGCCGCCTTCCATCCATATCGTATATATATATAGTGATTCCGACATCCATCCGTCCATCATAAGACACCGCAATATTATGGTAGGTATGTGAATCATGTGATGCCTCTATTATTCATGTCTCTAAAAATATGTAAAAGAAGAAAAGACTTGTAAGTAATTGAAGTATCAAAAACTAAAAACTTTAAATATAGATGATTTTAATGTTATCAGCTATTTTATTTTAATGAACTTACATAGGATGAACAAGAATTTTAATAAATGTTAATGAGTCTAGAGATGCGGAGTGCACATACATGCTTTCAACAATATTACAATTTCTAAAAAGATCAACTTCATCCCTGAGGACCCTTCAGACCCCAGTCATACGGTCACTGACTCACTGAGAGGATGTAAATTTGATTTCAATCCTAAAATCCGGATGTTTGAGTGCAAACTTTCAAATGTTAACGAAAGGTTGTGTTGTATCATCAACTAACAAGTCCATTATTTGGATTTTGCATATAAATAGATGGTTCCGGGTATGTTTGAGACACAAAAAAAACTTTCATACTCGTTCTAGCTAGGTTACTTGAGTCTTATCTGATTGAAGTGTTTTGGTATATTTCAAAACAACTTCAATATAAAGCGTTCATACGCGATTCACTAATAAGTCTATCAAGTCGCTTTTTACATTAGTTCATCGAATACCGATTCTCCTAAAACCTAACGCAGCTACGTGCGTTATTACCTCTCTCAAATTTCCAACATAAAATACAGTTGGTTTTTTTAATACATCTAGTTAGTTTACGATGCTTGACTGAAAATATTTTCATGACAATTTATTTGAAAATTAGGGTAGAATTAAAAAATAAAATTTACATATTTAAAAATTAATAAATTGGTACTGGAATTTTTTGCAACCTTTTCTTTCCAAAATTTTAGGGAAAAGTTTATGTAGTGCCTTAATTATCACAATAATCCTGCTAAGTGTACGGTGCATGCCAAGAATTATATTCTAAAATGTATCTTAAAAGTTTATACTTACATCTTAAGAAATTAGATTGACATAAATTTGAATATAAAAGTACATTTGTAAATCTTTAGAATATAAATAGATTTATTCTTGCCTCAAAATGCAAAATGGACATATCCGATCGACCCATGCCTAAATGCCCAGCCCCCCTAATAATTAACTATCGGGGCTGTCCTCCTTTATTAATTAGCACAGGTTCGCCGCTCACCCTATTTATTACTCTTTCCTTGTCTACTTGCAACCTTTTCTTTCCAAAATTTTAAATTATTACTCCGTATTTATAAAACCTCTTTTATTTTATTATTGTTATCTTCTTTTCTTTCCCTTTGATCAATGAGCAAAACTGAAAAACGTCTCTCCATATCACTTTGATATACGGAGTAGGTGATGGTTCCAAAAACTCACTTTTAATTAGTATGTCATGAAAATCTTTTTTGGGCTATAAACAAAGTCTACTTTGATGACTCTTCAGTGGGTTACGTTCAATATTTCTAAGATGAAAGTTGTGATTCATAGAATCTTGTATAAACTCTTTCTGACATGTATAGTTACTTTTTAGTTTCAGCCTGCGTGCCACTTTGGTTTTTGCTTATGTGATTTTGGTTATTGTAAGCCGCTTGATGTTCGAGGATACTGATCCTATTTGTATTCTTTTTCTCGAAGTTGCAACATTGTTTAATGTCACCCCAAATAAATGAACACGACTGCAACCATGTGTTTTGGTCGGTTCTAAAAGGCCCTCAAGGATGGATTCATTATTCCATGAGCACGACTGTAAGACCGTGTGGAATGGTTCATGCCCTTCATCGGTATTTTCTACCTCAATCTTGCTTACCCTATTCAACTTTGCACCCTTTCTGGACCACCCATGACGCACGGTCTAACAAGCCAACAATATCATTTGTTATGGATTTGACAAGTGTCAATGCAAGAATGGCCATCGTCAAACCATTGTGCCACAATGAATCAATGTCACCAAAACACACACTTGTCCCATTGGATTCTCAACACACAGATACCCTTTTTTCGAAAGCGCAGTTTACAATGTTAATTTTATTTCATTTAAAAATTAGTTCAAGCTTAAAAAAATAAATTTGCATATTAAAAAATGACATCAAGGAAACTGTAAAACAAGAAATGTCGTAAAGGAAAATGCTGGTTTGGCCTAAAGGGAAAGATAAGTAGAGGGGTAAAACAGAGTTGAGAGAGATTTTAAACAAATATACCATAAACTAAGGTAACAATATGCACATACAGTAACAATTTTTGCATATCATCAATGCATTCAATTTACATTCATAACGACAGACGACCAATCTGTTCGCTTTGAAAAGGTTAACCAACAAAACAAAGCACGGTGAGGAAATAAAAGACAAGAACCCGCAAGACCAGTGACCGGGCGCAAGAACGTATTAAGTACCACAAACCAACTCATAGTCACGCATAAACACCGTAATAATAAGGCACAGAGAAGTGAGAGAGATCAGTGAGCACTGACAATGAAAGAATGTTGGCAAACACCACATTCTATGGTCTCTGAACCTGAGCTTGGAACTTGAACCTGCAAATGAACTGTACAAGTAGGGCAGGCAACCTCCTTCGTCCTCCTTCCGGAACCATTTGGCCTCGTGGAGCCTGAGAATCAAAGGAAGCTTTTCATCAAGCCAAATGCAGAGGCATAAATATATATAGAGAGACAAGGTAACTTATTCCTGCACTGAGATTTACCAGATGATGCCTTGCTGTTTCTCTCCATCTCCTCCTGCGGAAAATGGAATAGCCATAGTGATCAGAGCTAATTTGCTTACGGAGGCAAAACGCTTTATGGTTTTACTTTTACTGGGTTTAAGAAAAATGTTGAAAAGAAAAATTTGTATGGTCAATTTGTTTAGATGGGAGAGATATATTATAAGTCACATATTCATAACTAAAATAAAAAAAAAAGTGCAAAGTTTTTTTTGGGACGTTCGAAAAAAGAATGTGTAAAGCTTTTTATGGGATGGAGTATATAAAAAAGATTAGCAGCTTTTTTGCCTTCACTCTAATATTTGAAGGTGGAGATTTGGCTTTGATATTTTCTACAGAGGTTAAGGGTTCACAGTTTTAAGCTACCTGAAGCTTCTTAGCGAGGTCTTCGTGACTATGCAACACAGTAGATCTACTGGCAGCTTCCTTAGCATTGCTTAGCCTGCGAGAAACCTCAGCCTGAAAAAGGAGGAGCAGAATATAGTTGCAACATGTCATTTTCAAGTAAAGTGTCCGGGATATCATTAAATCAGAATTTCTGAAAGCAAACACTAAATGCACCTTGCATCGGTCACAAACACGGACAACTGGTGAATTCTCATCAGATGTCAAAGCAATTCTTGCTTGAGTACACTTGTCGCAGAAAATATCTCCACAATTACGGCAGTGATGCTGAAAGTATAAGAGGAAAAGCCGTTGTTCTTTTATTTACTCAGTTGGGTGGCACTTTCCAACTGCTAAGGTCATAAATAAATCATACTTATAAGAATGATACATGCCTTTCTATTAAAAGCATTAAAGTCTGCACCACAAGCTGTGCACTTCGAAACTGCTTCATCGGGAACCTGTTAACGTTAGCAGGTGAATAAAAGTCATCAACGTAACGAGTAATCTTGATAAGGGCAAAATCTACACCATTTGCACCAGACCAGCCCTTCTCATACTCAATAAAAATATAAAGAGAACTTATGCTCCATTTGATTGCAGGAAAATACAACCCACTTGAATCCCACGGAGGTAGGGTATGGGGAGGGTGTGAGTATGCAGACCTTACCCCTACCCGAAAGTAGAGAAGTTGTTTCCAAAGATAGCCCCGGATCGAGCACCACATGTAATCAGGTACCCAGCCTGACTATGCTTAAAGCATAGAGTGGCTGTTTCCAGATGACCCATGATGAGCGTCGAAAGTTGCATTGACTAACTACTACTTCACTCATAAAAGAAGCGCACATTGTTCAAAGAGTCATTTTGCTTTATTCCATCATACTCCAAAGCCAAAAAAAATAGTGAATTTTTGGCTCCATCGGAGATAATGAAAAATGGTTGCAGAAAATGGTTTCCATGAAGTATGCTTTCATTTCAAAATAGGTTGTTCTGTGTATAATATTATGTTTAATGCACAAAAAACTATACTCCATCCGTCCTAAAAAAAAGAGTTTGGTTTCATCAATGTATAACTTTTTAATTATAAGATACAGCCATTATAAAACATGATAACTCGCTTGTTTTCATTCATTCCTTTTTTGGGATTAAATAAACAAGTCAATAAACTGAATTTGTTTTGCAGACAGAGGAAGTAAAACATAAAACTGCTTCTAGGAGTCACAACCAAGCACAAGAAAATCATCCAGAAAATCGTTTTAATGTGTCACACAAAGAAAAATCCAAAGAACATTATTCTATATAATATTTCCATTTTCCCATGAAACAAATGGCACCTAAGGGGCAGAAATTTGAAGGAAGCATTAATTGGTTTATGTAAAACAGTCGGAAATAGATTAGAATGTTTGTCACACTTATGAGTACAGCAACATATCATGTTAACAGTGACACATGAACCGGAAATAATATATGATCTAATTACCCAATGATCTTTCTCCTCGTTGACGGGCTTTATTGCATTGAGCCAACCCAAACCTTTTCTCTTTTCAGCAGGCTGTTCAGCCATCTTGTGTGATTCAGACGGTATACTTCCTCCACCCATCTCCTTAAACTTCATTACCAAGAGAAAAAGATCAATATACTATGTTTTTGAATTGGGAGCAAGATTATTCTGAAGAAGAAACACCCTTTGTACAGTTAACTCTTAACTGGTGATCCACAATCTGAAGACAAGAAGTATTCAGGGTGAACTAAATAGGTCAGAATGCATTGCAGACCAAAACAGCAGGTGAGCTTTGCATGTATTAGAGTAGATGAATTCACAAGTAGGTTAATTCATTACACATTTCTCTTTAAAGTTGTACTCCCTCCACACAAAAAAATGCTACTACGTACATTAAAATGAAAAGAGGGACAACTTACCTGAATGAAAACTACATGTAATTTATTGAATAACAAATATAAACTTAAAAAACTATCACAAGGTTTCCCCATGTTTCACCTCAAATAGGGTAGTCTTTATCAAATTTCATTACTCATATCTTGTTTAAAACAAGGCCGCAATTGAACTAAGAGAAAAATAAATAAGAGGCATCAAGAAAAAATGAATATAGATGCAAGTCCATAATTAATTACGCCATAATTAATTAATAAATTAGTAAGTATAAGTATTTCACACCTGTATAGTAGCAGCTGTAACAGCGTCTAAGAGGGTTGTAGTGGTATAACTATTTGACTTCAGTCTGATACGCCTTGGTTCTATGTCTACGGTGCTTTTCGACCAAAAAGCCAAGGTAGATGAATCAAATACCTAGAACGGGACAAACACAACCAGCGTAAAATTGAAACCAGCAAAATAACATCTGCCAAGTAGTCAACAAGAAAACAAACATCTACCCATATTCTATCAATTTCCCCAATGGAATAAAAGTGGGATGCCAAACTTACCTCACATCTTGTAACTGTATCAAGAGGGTATATTCTCAATGTCCGGCTTGTGCTTGGGTCAAGCATACGAATTCCATCTAACCCAATCTGTATGATGTCACACATTATACAATCACACATTAAATTTCCCCTTGCCAAAACAAGGTAAAACATGAAATATGTGGTGAGGATCGTCACAGATAAAGAAATGATTATTGTGCTACTAAATCCAAGTTCCATTCTTAACCATATAATATTATCAAATTCCATCAAAACACAAGCTTATGTCCTTTCTTTTATACTGAATGCACAAAAAACTCAAGCCATGAACCATTTGCTTAATTTTTGCAAGTACTTATTTCTTACAACCATTAACTACCTCAAAGAGAGAATATTTTGCTTCTAGTTGGCCACCAAACCAATGGTAAAACGAAAGTAAAGAACTCAGCACACGCGATGAGTTCCCAAAATGTTAATTTGCCTACAGTCTAGCTAAACCAAACTTGAATGTAAACCCCCATTACTGTAAAGGTATGTTTGGAACTCTGAATCCTAGGGAAAGAAAATGGAGAGGGAGGTATAAGGGTAATTTGGAAGTAATGATAATTAATGTAAACATATTGTTCAAACTCATTTAATTTGTCTATTTCTATTATGGAGTATTATATAAAGACTAAACTTGAAATTTTTTACAAACAATAATCACATTTCATTTAAACAAGCACGAGAAAATAATAAACCTGGCAAAGAACATCTTGGGTGCTCTGACCACCGCTTTCGGCCAGCAGCTTCACTCTGAACTTCTGAACTCCTGCTTTCACGTCCTGCTGGGTCTCTGCTTTAGGAACAGCTCGAACGGTCTTCGTGCTCAAGCCCGAAGGCCTGTCCTCCGAACGAAGTCCAATGGGCCTCCCAAAATCATCAAAACTAGACCAAGTAGACGACTTTGGAGCAGTTCCTCGAGCCCCATATGGTTCAGCCCTACTCCCCTGATAGGCATACACTCCATCTCCATGATCATCAGTCCCATAGTGTCTCTCAGGTCGTCTTCCATAATGATCTTGTCCCAGTTCAGCTCTCCCAGACCCGTAACTCCCATAACGACCTGCAGATTCATCCATGTATCTTCTAGAGTGATCGAATTCAAAACTAGTATTACTATACATCTTTTCTTGATCAGAACTTAGTTGATTACTGTACGGGGACGGGTAGGTTGAGGAAAACGAACTATTGGGCGCCTGGCTAAGGTTTGTGGGGACATAATTCGGGGATTGGTCATACGGTGGATAAAATGAATTTTGTTGGGTGGGTGGTTGGTAATCTCCGGCGGGGGTTTCGTATCTCGGAAATGTGGGGGAAGGCTGAGGCTGTTGGGTCACCGGCAAAGGCGCCGGAGGTGGATTATACGATTGGAAGTTCGGGGCAGGAGTGCTTGCGAAAACATCTGGATGTTGAAGATAAGGCGAGTGAGAAGATGGTGAATACGAGTGGTGATCGGGTGCAGGAGGGAAGCCGGCGCTGAATGGCGGAGCGGAGGCGTAAAACGGCTGTGGTGGCTGTGATGGCGGAGGAGGAGGAGGAGGAGGATGATCGAGCAAATTGGGAGTGGGATTAGGGGTATAATTGGGATTTTGGGGATACTGGGGGTACGTAATGGAGCTGAGATCGCTCTGTTGCATCGTCGCGTACGGAGGGGAGACGACGGAGCAGGGAGCGGAGAAGTCTACGTTTTCGCCGCCGATTGGACACACGGAGGTGAAAGTTTTGGGATGATCGTCGGCGTCTGGAGAGAGAATATTTGGTTGGATGGATTTCTTTTTCTTTTTTTTTGGGTATTTTAAATGTTGAGCGTTACAAATTACAAGCCCATCTTAATCCAACAGCCCAAGCCCCAAGGTCTTTAAGGCCCACTCCCCTTATTCATTTAGGGACCACCAAGCAGAGTTTATAAGAGAAGAGTCCAATGGCATCTTCAAATTATGGGCTACGCCCATAGCCCAGTGCTCATACCCATTTGATCGAAGTTACTTTAATTTCTTTTGCATACGTTTTCGTAAATATTATCAACCGAAAAAAATACTCCATCAAATTTATTTAATTTACTACTCAAAAAATTGATTTAACTTAAATTTTGAAAAAAACTAAAATTTACATACTCTGTACTTGAAATCCTCATAAAGAATTCGAAACATAAATGGTGACAAGACTTTTATTTATTCTTTTAGGCAACTTATATGGTACATCGTATCATTTGTTTTTTTAATAAAAACAATTATGTGAGAAAGCCTACAAAAATAATATGCACACAAGGTGCATTATAGAAGCACTCACTTTGTAGTGCAAAAGACTCTTTTTTAATGTGAATAAATAAAAAATTGTGATTTTTAACTTTACGTTAATTTTTAAAATAATATGTAGCTTGAGTTGAAAATAACTTTAAGTCATACCATGTGTTCTCTACTTCTCTCCTTTAAACTTTCTTTTTTTATTACTAGTCATACACTCAAATTTTACTTGCTTTATTTGTCAATTTTCATTGGTCATTTACGTCTTTTCTTGTAGAATTATTGATATAGTTGTAAAATGTTTAAATTATATTTTAAAATATACGCTTATAAATTACAATGTAAGAAACTGAGTTGAAACAAAATTCGTTCAAACATTGAAAATTGAAATAGAAAGAAAAACTTAGGCAGAATGGCCTAAGTCATATAGGGAACAAAAAAGAGTTATTCCATGGTTTTAAAATCCACATATGAAATATGAATCTTCTTATATATTAAATGGGCTCACAAGTGGATTTTCTTCTTTTTTGCAAAAAGACAAATTTTTTATGGTATCGATATACTAAGATTCATAAAATGAACATGAAACTTAATATCAAGTAAGAATGTCTCAAAAGAAAAAATGTTTATTTAGGATGAAAAATCATGAGATTATTTGTTAGTCTATTTTGACGAAATGGTTCACATTATAGAAAATACTAGTGTACAATTTGGAGTAAAAGTTTTACTCCCTCCGTCCCAGTGTATTTGTTCAGTTTGACTTTTTCGAGTCAAACTGGACAAATTTTGAGCTTCAATTAAATAAAAACTGTAATGTATTTTAACATAAAAATGAGTTGATTGGATTTATCATATTGAGAACTTTAAAAATTGTACTCCGTATTTCATTATGTTAATTTGCAATATAAATTGAGAGTAACTGAAGTTCAAACTTTGTTTTGATTCGAAAAAATTAAACTAGACAAATATACTGGAACGGAGGTAGTATATTACAAATAGGATTCTAGTAATTGTGATAGTGGAACAAATTGGTGGCAATAGGAAAAAAAAACTCATCATCAACATCAAGTCATCAACAGGTGGCGTGTATGGAAAGAAGAGATGAGAGTTCTTCAAAAAAGGAGAGGAGAGGACACGACAGGGGGCATAGGCATAGGCAATAGCCGATCCTCACACTAACTCGATCTACTGTCGGCATTGTGGTGATGATATAAGCCCAATCCTAATCTGGATCCTCTCTATCTATTTCTCTGTCAAGCTTTTTCTTTTGTCAATGGTGTGACCTCTTATCAATAATATGTTCCCTTTTTCTCATTGTATTGTCTCTCTTCTTTGAGAAAGAAGTTAAAACATGAAGTTTTACATGTTTAATCTTATATTATCAAACATCATGTCTATAATCCTTCTTTTATGAGTGTTTTTTCCCGAATAAGCTAGCCTTACTTTGAGCTTCTATTATGATGGTGTTGAATTGAAACCAAAAATATTAATTTCACATAGACTTAATTACATATCTTCTACTTCAATTCACCCACTCCCATCTCTCTCAGGATGATTTAATTGAAGGGATTTGAAAATTTTAATTTTATTTCAGTGTGTTTCATTTTTTATTTCGATATTGTTTTTAATAAAGAGTGTCACTCTTAACATTTTTATTACTACCCCCTCGTTTAAGAAAATAGAGGTTTCACTTTCAATGCTCAAAAAAGTCGCGTCTATACGTGAGAAGTCGCGTCTCGTGGGCAAAATATGGTTGTCTTTGCAAGAGAGAAAGCTAGAGCCACAGGTCCGACTCAAGATGGACGAGCGACATGGACGACCCTTTTGCCTTGCCAACTATTTAAACACACACAAATAATATGCGAGAAACGAGAGAAACGGAATACGGACGACACACAAGAATTTAATGTGGTTCGATTTCCCTACTCCATGGCTGCAACAAGAGGATTTCTATTTCACTTGTCATGTCTCACGGAATTACAAGTACAAGAGCTCAATATATATATATATATATATATATAGGAGAAAAGAAACTATGGTTATATAACATGGGCCAGGCCTACAAGTCAAGCCCAAGCCGGCCTGCACAAACCCAACAAGACCACTAGTTGTTTTATCTCGAAGATGTTTTATTTATTATCGGTGGACGTTGCATAGTTGGCAAGGCAAAAGGTGCCAAGGGGTAAGACCCGCGTTCGATTTCTGACAACTGCGTTGGGAGGCAAGAGGCAACTATGTTAAACATAGGATCTCTGCAATTGCCATGTGCATGATTCATTCTTTGCCACCAATCTGCGATTAAAATCTAATTTATCTCTTTTCAGTAACCGTCTGGCTGGGTCTGAGGGGCCTATCCTTTTTTCGAAGATATTTTACTGTGCCGCTTAGTGTTGCCGCGTTGCACAGTTGGGAAGGCAATGAGGTAAGATTTGAGTTCGATTCCTAGCATCTGCGCTGAGAAGCAACTAACTATGCTAAGCGTAGCCACGTAGGACATTTGCAAGTACCAGGTGTAGACTTCATTCTTTATCACCATCTACAATCAAAATCTAATTAATTATCTCCTCTTCGTGACTGTTCGGCCGGGTGCGAGTGTTATTTAAACGAATATTGCTACTACGGAGTAGATTGAATGAATTTAAAAAAAATCTTAATGAGTAGAAAATCAAGACATTATTTATGGGACAAGAGTGGTACGTACTGGGTTAGCTCAGGGCTTCTGACAATGAAAATAGCAAGCATCCCACCATAACCCTCAGTTTATTTACTGTATGTTTTTTGAAGAGGGAGTAAATAATTAGAGGGAGGGAGTAGTAATTATATTACTCATATATACTCCGTATTGGTAAGGTTTGTGGTACGGAGTAATTTAATTATATTAATTACTTTTGGCAGCAATATAATGATAGGTGCTCTGCTCTTACATTATAAAAAACAGAACAAAAATACTAGAGGTACACCATTTGGGGTACCCCATTTGTACCCCCTCCATCTCTACCACACAAAACAAGAGAGAGAAAAAAAATTAAAAATAAAAAAATAAATGAAGGGCTAGGATGCATGGTGTACAAAATGGGGTATCCCTAGCATTCCTCAAAATAGAAAGATAAATTGTACTCCCTAAAGTAAAATGTGTCACTATTACTTGCAAAAATCTTATGTTTAATATAGTAGTTGTTTTTGGAAAACAGTTGGAAATCGAATTTGAATGCGAATCTTTAACACTTTAATATCTCTTATTTTTGCTAATTGCGCAACACACACCAGCGTTATATGTTGGAAACAATCTCTTTATTATAACTGGAAAATAACTCAAAACCAATTACAATAAACTCTCATATGTTTCTCATATGGCTCTCATATCAAAACCCAAGGCTTGGCTATGATATATATAGTGTTAATCCAACTTGGCCAACAAGTAATCTAGGATCCATAATTCTATTCCTACTTGAACTAGAATATCTCGGGTAATCCTAATCCTACTCGATAATTAGTCAACAATCACCCCCCTAATTTTCGAGTTGGATTGCGGGTGATCTTCAACTCCAAGCATGTCTTCTTTATCTTGATTCTCCCGAGGCTCTTCATGATTCCTTGCAGTGTTTTTCGGGCTCCACTTAGCTTGAACAAACACTTGCTCCTTGCGATTGAAAGAAAAAAAACTTGTCACCACCGTCGCAGGCGTGCCGATCCGAGCATAGGGTTGGAGCCGCCGTCGCAGCTGTCCGGATCCGAGATTGAACTTGCCGCCGCCGCCGAGTTGAGGAGCCGCGCCGTGTTGAGGAGTCGTCGTCGTCCTCAGATTGACGCCGCTAGTTCGAGGAGATAGACGCCGCTCGTTCGAGGAGATCGCTGCCGCTGATCCGTCAGTGCGCCGCCGCATCGAGTCGTCACAGCCCAGGTCCCGCCACCGCCTAGCAGCAGAGGTCTCGCCGCTGCTGGAATCCACACAGGTCGCCGTTCAGATTCTGACGCGCACAGCAGGTCGCCGTCCGAAGGATCTGAAAGCCGTCTCGCGTGAAGTTGCTGCCGACCACGCACAGAGCAATCGTCGTCCAACCACGCGCACAGCCTGGTCGCTAAGCCGCCGCCGTCTCCCAGTCGCGACTCCGCCAAAGTGCCGCCGCGTTGTTTTCAGGAAGGGGATCGAGCAGTGGTCAACCTTTTTTTCTTTGCTTGGATTGGAGATTGGGCTCAATTTGGTGGTCTGGGCCAAGATTGAAATTAGTGTGGTGGGCCTGATTTCATGAAAAAAGGATTGGATTAAACAAGTAAGGTTTAATCAAATTTGCTTCAATCTCAAGATAACAAGTTCCAGTACACAAGTTAGCATGATTGGAATGAAGAATTTTGTGGGTAGGGATCTACAAAGAGTTGATCGACTGAAAGAAGGTACGCAAAGTACGAGTCAGAATCTTCTCGGAGATCCAAGTTTAATGGAAAAACCCAAAATTCAGAGTCCAAAGAAGAATGTTCAAGAGTTTAAAGGAGATGTCAAGAAAAGGATTCTAACCCAAGGAAGGACGTGTAATGATCGCAAGGAGCAAGTGTTTGTTCAAGCTAAGTGGAGCCCGAAGAACACTGCAAGGGATCATGAAGAGCCTCGGGAGAATCAAGATAAAGAAGACATGCTTGGAGTTGAAGATCACCCGCAATCCAACTCGAAAATTAGGGGGGTGATTGTTGACTAATTATCGAGTAGGATTAGGATTACCCGAGATATTCTAGTTCAAGTAGGAATAGAATTATGGATCCTAGATTACTTGTTGGCCAAGTTGGGTTAACACTATATATATCATAGCCAAGCCTTGGGTTTTGATATGAGAGCCATNACAATCTCTTTATTATAACTGGAAAATAACTCAAAACCAATTACAATAAACTCTCATATGTTTCTCATATGGCTCTCATATCAAAACCCAAGGCTTGGCTATGATATATATAGTGTTAACCCAACTTGGCCAACAAGTAATCTAGGATCCATAATTCTATTCCTACTTGAACTAGAATATCTCGGGTAATCCTAATCCTACTCGATAATTAGTCAACATTATATGCTCCCTTCGTCCCTAAATATTTGTCAACTTGTATTCCCGAGGCAAAATATTAAGTTTTCTTAATTCATTTTATTTACAAATTGGTATAAAAATAAAAAATAAAATTTACAGATCAAAAAACTACATGAAAAGTTCTTCGAAATAAGAGGTGTCAATAATATTTTATTTTATCAAATAACCAATGAAAACGTAAAAATAAACAAAAGTTTCTACGACTGTTAAAAAACAAATGTTGCAAATATTTAGAAACGGAGGAAATATTAGGCATGGCGTGGAGTACAAATTGTACAATGGAAATGGAAATCCTCACTTGCCCACACAATTAAAGAAGTGGTACCCGCCCGCTATCCTATGCTGCCAACAACTCTACAAAACTACCCCTTCACTTACAAAGACGATGAGCCCTAATCTTGAAGACTATTTCAGATCTGGTATGACGGTCACTGAGAGAAAGTAAATTAGATTTTAATTATAAATTAGTGTCAAAGATAAGAGTCTGCACTTGGTCCTCTCAGCGCAGTTACCAAGAATCAAGCTCACCGGCACTACCCGTTCTTTATAATTCCTCTCGGGTGAAAGTGACTTTTTAATAAAAATGAGAAAGATTTTTTGCGACGGATAAAAAAAGAAGTCAGGAAGATTTTTTTGGGATAAAAGGAGTATTTTAGATTCTTGATAACTTTGCCTTGTTCACAGGTTTTAATTAACTATTTGATAAAATAAAATATTCCTATCGATTTGAGTTTTGTGGAATTTCGTATGTAATTTTAAACAATACTCCGTATAATTTATATTTTTTATTTTTATACTAATTTATAAATAAAATCATTTTAAAAATAATGAATTTCACACTTTGTTCAAAGTGAGAAAGTACTTTTGGAACGGCGGATTTAGTTACGGAGTATTAATTTCTATTAGTTGAATTTTACACTCCTCATCCCATGAAATATTTCCTTTTAAAAAAAGGCAAGCCTTTAAAATGATTAATTTTGATGTTTTTTTCAAGAAATATTTGCACTAAGTAGTATTAAAACTTAAGTCATTTCTCTAAATAGTACTTAAACTGTTTTATTCTCTAAATAGCACTTAATAATGTCCATAATGTCCAGTGATGGCGAATATTTGCTTGAATAATGACTAATGCATAATGACTAAAAGTGCTACATTGAGAAGAAAAACACATGTGGTGCTATTTAGAAAAAGTTATTATGTTTTAGTGTTATTTAAGTAAATTCCTTTTTTTTCAACTTATGACTCATCTATCATATACATCCCATTCTACTCGATCTATTATTAATAAGTAATGATAAAATTTAAAAATAATACCAAAATTACTTATGCAAGTTACTCGGTACTATTTTAATCTATTAATGAGCCTTTTAAAAGGTATTGACACAACTTTTATTCATCTGCTAACACTACTCTCACGTATATTGGTTCTTTGACTTGATTTCAGAACCTTGATGATTAAGTGATCACGAGTTCAAAACTCATCGCCACTTAATTTAAAAAATTAAGTTTCACGCGCAAGGCTAAATAATGGTCACGCCTGCATGTGAGAAGACATATTAGAATATAAAACCCTTTTTTAGAATTATAACCACAAGCTTGAGTTTTTGGTTTAACTGACTCTTTGGCAGAAAACACCGCGGGCCCCGCCTTCAGCCATTCGGCGTTTGGAAAATTCAACGTCCATCTTGTCAGCACCGATGGAACGGAACATGGGATAAACCCGAGTTCGATTTCAAAATAAGTACAACACTTCTCATGTACACAAAGTCAATTTTTGGTTAGCTAGACTCTAATTATAACTCGATTTACTTCTTGGGTGTGATTCTAGAAGTAACTTGGAGCCCCATTTAATGGAAAACAATGACTCTCTCTTGTGTCCTTACTATACCCTGCATGCATCAGTGCATGTGCTGTCACAAAGATCTCCATCTGCCCATCTCTTTCTCTCTTTACCTAAAACACTTTTTTCTGGCTTTCTTTTTTCTGTTTTCTTTTTCTTTTTTTGGGGTTTTCTTCTTCTGGGTTTTGGACTCCACATAAGCAGAGCCCCATAAACAACCACAACAATAAAGCTAGCTACGTACCTCGGTACTAAGTACGTGCTACCCGACAAATTCACGGCTATTATTTTTTATTGTGTTCGGATCGATCTACTGTAAGAGTAAGACCAACCAACCATGTTAATTAAGAAGACGACCCACCATTTTTGTTTTGTCTGATCCCTTTTTTACTCCCCTAATTGCGTGTCATTATTTGCCTTCAATTCCTTCCCAAACTTTAATCCTACTTCAATTACTCTCTTCCTCATATTTTTAGTTTTTTACGATATTGACTAAAGTTATTTTGAAATTTATTTATTTGAAAATTGAGACAAAATTAAAAATTAAATTTATATATTTAAAAATTAAATAAAAAGATTCACAGAAAGATGTGACATGACTATTTTATTTTATCATTTGAGTAACAAAAATTTATTAAGAAAATAGTTAAAGATTGACCTTATGAATAATAAACATGCAACTTAAATTATGGCAGATAGAGTAGTTACTATTACATCATCCCAATCAATTTTTAAAAATAGATCATCTCTTATTTCCAGTTATCGGTTCCAAAAAGATATTCGTGTTACGGATTATGAATTTATGGTTTTTGAGTAAAATTATTTTTAATTTAATTTATAATAAAATTTAATAATATTTAAAAAAATTGCAAATTTAACAACTATGAGTCTATAAAAAACTGTACAAACTAAGAGTTGAGAACGTTATATTCCGTATAATTTCATCAAATGATTAATAAAATTAAAAAAATAAATTAATCTCTTCGCCCTACAATAGATACCACTTTCTAATAATGTACAAAATCTGACCTATTATTTTTAAAATTATTTTAAATAACAATTGGTATAGAAATAAAAAGTATCAATTACTTTGTACAAAAATACACAAAAAGTTTTTTAAAACAATAGAGTACAAAGAATATTCTATTCTATCAAATGATTAATGAAATATACAAACAAAAAAATATTGAGATGTCATAGTAGTAACAAGGGCATCCATTTTATGACGGAGGGAGTATATTAAAAAGTCACTTTAACCACTACTTATTTTTACCCTACATATCACAAATACACTCAAACGAAATATGTAATATTACTTATTTCGTTCTAGTGTATTTATCGAATTTGATTTTTCAAACTTGACAAATACACTAGGGTGGAGGTAGTATTCGCTATTAATATATAATCACATACAAGAATATTTTTAATTTGGAAAGTCAATATCAAAATACAATCTCATTAAATTCCTTAATAGTCAATACAAGAAGGTTTTTAGAGATGGATGGAGAGGTGGTAGACATGAAAATATTTTTGGGACGAAAGAAGTATTATACTCCGTATGTAATAAAACCAGTTTCTCCTTTTTGCTAAAAGATTTTTGGGAGAACACCCTCGATATGAGAAAAAACTATGAAAACACCAAAATAGAATTGAGTCTTTTAAGACATAATAAGATTGAATTCACACTTTCATTGTTACATTGTCACACTCATCACATTATCAAACTGCAAATAGTTGAGAATTGTTAGGATTTTGGCAATTTATGTTGTAATAGATTATACGGAGTGTTAAACTATTTAACGCTGCGAGCCGTCATTTTGACATGTAGTCCTAGTCATCATGCATTCATGCCTCAATATCACTGTCATTTGTTACCGTTGGCCACTCGAGTACCGTTGTTAATTGCAAGTGATTGATTAATCACTCTGCCATATTACACTGTCATGATTTTTCCATTACACTATCAACGCGATCGCTATTATTGTTGGGAGTTCCAACAACAAATTTTAAGATGGAACCGTCATGATTGGCTCACAAGTCTCTTATCATGGTATCAGAGTAACTTCAACGTGTGTTTAACTTTTGATCTAGTGCAACGTTTTTGCAAAAACACAAGGCCAAACAATTGCATTTGAGGGGGTGTCGAGAGTTCTACATACCCCACACCAAAAAAGAAACAAGCGAAGGTTTCTAACATATACAATCTCCGTCCCACTATCTTTGTTCACTTTTGACTTTTGGAACTGTTCATCTAAACACTTTGACTCATCAAATTCTCTCAATGTGTAAGCCTAAATATAGGCATGTGTGATCTTGTTTGATTTGTCTTAACATATAGACTATTAATATATAATTCCTATAATTTTTTTAATATACAAATTACAAGATAAAATGGATTAAAGAAGTACATTGGATAGTGTGTAAAAATGAAAGTGGACAAACATTTGCCTTGAATAGTCGTGTGTCCTCCCACGCTATGTTTTTGTCCACCCCACACACTTTTATCACCAATGAAAGTTGTCCAAACATTTGCCTTAATTAAATCCGCAACGCCGTTGACATTTTACTTGCATTGCCGCAATGCCATTGATTAGTGTTTGCAATTCTGCATACAATGTGAGGTGATGGTGAAAAATATGGAACAAACATACATTGTTGGTTGCTAAACTAACAAAGCAAGTCATGTTGATTTTTTTCAGCAGGGGGCAATTTACATCTATTTCTTTTCGTAATTAAATATAAATAATTGTACATGAAACCACCGAAATTACAAAGTTCTCGGGTAATTTGTTGTCAAATTAGGGATCCAAGTAGCCGGACTTGTTTAAACTTGGTATTAAATTTAGAAATAGTCAAATTTATTTTAATTGAAATCTTTTAGCTTTATATTAAAAACCCTTTTCACGTGTTAAAAAGGGAAGTAACTTACGAGTACATCATATTTAAATAATCCATAGCAGTGTTCTACTATTTTCTAATCTCAAGTCCTGTTCTTTTAAGTTTAAAAAAATTAAATTTCAACCTTCTTCTAATTCTTTCCACTTCTTCCAGTTTCTTCCAACAACGACTTAAAAAGAATATTTATATGTAATGAATATACAATAATATTAGATATCCAAATTTACGAAATATCACCTCAAGCACGAATAAAAGTGAATTCTTTTTTATCTAAAATTAAATTTTTTTTTACATATTTATATGAATGATACTTTAATTGATCTTTTTTAAAGACTTTGATTCTTCCAATATTTTTCAACTTCTTCCAATTTTATCTAACTCCTCCCACTTTCTTTTAGAATCTAACCCCAACATTTCTCTCTCTCTCTCTCTATATATATATATAAAGATTAGATAGAGGAGGGGAGAGTAGAAGAAAGAAATTAAAGGACTCAAGTAAAAACCTTTCGTTGTGGAAGGGGTCGGTTTCGGTTAAACCGCAAACCAAAGAAGGGCAAAGCAAAGGCTTTGGGAGCATTTAAAGGCCATCAGACTCTTCCTGCGTGACTCATCTCCCACTCCTCCCTCCCAAACTCTTCTTTCTCTCTCCCATCTCATCATCATCATCGATCATCACCATCATATATACCAAAGAAGAGAGCATTAAGATCCACCCTAGCTACGCTCTTCCCCCATCGCCCTGCCCTTTTCAATCAAATGGCCGTTCACACCACCTGGTTTTGCTCTCAAGATCCTCTTCTCTTGCCGCCCTTCATCCCCAATTCTTCCCAGTCTCCTCTGCAACAAATCCCATGCTCTCCCCCTCTCAAGAAACAGAGTCTCGTCGATATGGATCTCTTCTTCCAATCTGAGGTATGAAAAAAGAAATCATCTTTTCCTATATATTTTCATCGCATCCCATCATATCGTTAGTTAGTTGTTATATATACTAATCGTTGATTTTTCTGGGACATTTATATATGTGTAAAAAAAACAGAGCGAGAAATTGAGGGAGATGGTGATGGAAGAAGAACAGAGGAGGCAGCAGGGGGCTCTTCTCCAGAGCTACGAATCAAGAATCGCGGGGGCGATGAGGCAGAGAGACGCGGAGCTGGCAATGGCGAAGAGCAGAAACAGGGAGCTTCAGGATTTGATGGCGGGGGCAGAACTGGAGGCGAGGCTGTGGGAGAGAAGGGCCGCCGAGAACGAGGCCGCCGTTTCGGAGCTGAGCCACAGGCTGAGGCAAGCGGCGGCGGCGGAGAGGGAGGCGGAGGAGTCGTTCTGCGGCGGCGGGTCGACGCCCTCGCCGGCGGAGGGCGGGTGCATGACGTGCGGGTCGGGGAGGGCGATGAGCGTGGTGTTCCTTCCGTGCAGACACCTGTGCTGCTGCAAGTCATGTGATGTTTTTCTGGAGGCCTGTCCCGTCTGTGCGGCAGTCAAGGAAGATAGCTTACAAGTCATCCTACCCTAATTAATTAAGCTCTAATTAGCTTTTGCCCAATCCTTATCCTATCCTATAGCTCCTCCTACATACCCTATAATTAATTATGAAGGGCACTAGCTAGTAGCTAGGACTAGTAGTCGTCGTTTTAGTTACTCTGTAGCAAAGTAAAGAAGAAAGAAAAAGATGATCAGATTAAAGCAGGCGATAATGATAATGATGGGAAAAACTGAACAAAAAATCTCTTCTCCCAAGTTATCTTCTTTTTTTTCTTTAAGTTTTTACTTTGGGTTTTGCAGTTTTTGCTCTGCTTCGTCAGACGTGTTTTTAATGTATGGAGTTGGCACTTGGCATTCTAAAATACTCTACATTATTTTCTCTTATCACATTAATAATTATTTTGGAGCATTAATAATAAACAAAAATAGAGCGAGAAATAAAATAAATGTTTGATGAATTCCAACGTACTCCATGGTCCTAGCCCAACAATTACAAGAAGGCAAAATAAGTTAGTGCATCATAAAGTAATAAACAATTTAGAAATGTTGTTTAAATGTAACTTATCGTATGTATTAATCTATGTCAACTTATAGATTACTAAAGACTTCTAAAATTCAAAATTGACTCCATTTTAAAATTGGAATTGGTCGAAAACGAGCAAAGTGTCTAATAACACATAAAATGGAGATTTTTCTACTAATTCAAAAGTTTCAACTAGCAAAACTATATATGCTAGCAGTATTTCTCTTTATTTTCTGTAATTCTCTTTATTTTCTAATGATAATTCTAACACTCTCCTCAAACGGTAATTAGTCTGACCTAGCAAGTACTTGAACAGGTGTAGCGGGTCTAGTATCTCGAACTCTTATACCTAGCAGCTCAATAGACAGCGATATCTCAATCTCTTATTCTCTTATAATCAATTCAATCAAACTATGAACGGGTGACTATATCGCTAAACCAATTCAACATCCAAAAAATCAGGAAGAGCTCTGATACCGTGTTAAAATTTTGGTGGGTCGAGAACAACATGAAGAGTGACTCGTAAAAATGTCTACTTGTATATAAAATCAGGACCCACTTCCGAATCCAAAAGTTTAAACTAATGCATATGGCTTCAACCTTTTAAATATGATAGTGGTATTTTTTTTCAACTCCCAATGTGATAATTCCGACCCTCCTGAATACTGTTAAGAAAGTTATTTTTTTTTAAATATTATTAATTTGATTATAATGTAATTTCTGTTCATACTTTAAAAAATGTTATAAAGGAGGAGTACTTGTTTTTCTATTTCTACCTAAAATTTTTGATTTTTGATCAATCTACATCATGTCTACTACCCTCTCAAACTTACTCTAAAAACAAGAGCTCTATTTAGATTTTGGACAAGTAATTCAACTAGTGGTGGCAACCCTAGTATAGCTAGCTAGGGTGGACATATCTTTTTTCATGTAATGTGTGTGGGTATAAATAGGATGGGAGCAGTTAATATGGAGTCGTTGTGACTTGTGAGATGGATGGAAAGAATCTTTCCACTTTTTGCTTTGAAAAGCTTCATGTCGCCGCTACTGGATTATTTGCAGTCTTAACCCGGCCTGTTATTATTATTATTTCATCTTCTCCTTTTTTTTTTTTTTTTTTTACTTTTGCCAATATCTTTGTTTGTTACTATAGGACTGACACATCTCCCTGCAAAGTCAGACTTTATTTATTTTCCTTGGTCAACACAACAACGCTGCGAAATTGGCCATTCACATGAAAAGGAAATTAAAGTTGGAAAAAAAAAGGTCGTACTCCATATCTTTTTTTTTGTTTGCATTTTTGTTTTTTTGCTCCGTATCTTTTAACTCCACGGGTCCCCCATCACACAAGGAAGTGAAGTCTTTTACTCGTGCTGGTAAAAAAAATCTTTTTTTTTGGGGGGAAAATGTGTAAAACTACCTACCCCTCCTAAAATGTTTATCACTTTACAAAATTTCAAGTTTTTTATAATTTATTTTATCTAAAAATTGGTATATAAATAAAAAATAAAATTTATAAATTTAAAAATTATGTCAGAAGTTTTTCAAAAACTATTAAGAGATAATAAAAATATTTCATTGTATCAAATACTTGACGAAAATATACAAATAAATAAAAGTTATTGTAATTTTCAAAAAGTTTATGTTAATCATCCAAAATAAAGAACATGTGTATAAAAGTTCATATACCATAATCTCATTCTTAACAATAATATCGGAAATAAGGTAAGTTTTGAACCTACACCTAAAAATTTACAGTCGGGACCGATTTTTTTCGGACTGGTTTTAGACTCGAAAACCTGGTACAGCTTAATCATTATTTGACAATTTAAAAGGGAGAAATGTCCATAATTCACACACAGGCCTTACAGGTTATAATTCACTTGATCGCCACTTTAGTCTATAGCCAAACCACCGCATTATTTTTATAAATGTCAATTGTAACACCTTAGTTTAAGACGGAGCGAGTATTAAAATGTGAACATTATTGCAGAAAATAAAAAAAAATGTACACAAGTCAAAGTAGACATTGTAAAATGGAAGGGATAGTTTGAAGGGTCCCCCGCTAGTAGTAACAAGAGGTGAGCTAATAAGTGTGTTGTTTAAGTCCTCACGTCCCACGGCATTTTAAATGCATACTGTCCACCCCCGTGAAGAACCCCCACCCAACTACTCCAATTGTCTCTTCTTGCCTTGCCCTGCCCTGCCCCATGTGATACCAACCAACTAACCCTAAATCAAAGCAAAACCTGATTTGAAACTACTACATACATTTATAACATCACACTCTTGCCGTGAGTGATAGGGTGGTGAAAGTCTCAGTCTCCATGTATTATTTGCAGGAAAGAAACAATAAAGATATTGGTTCTGTAGCTCAAAATTTGCAACAAAATATTGTTAATGCAACTTGTATTGGGGCTCGTCGAAACACAGCAGAGAGGGGTGAGGTGCAAAGCTAAGCCTGAACCTTGGAAGGTTGACCGACCACACTTTCCATCCTAGAGTACCAACTGCCGATGCGTGTGTTCTCCACCATGTCTTTACCGGATTTCAAGTACCGGATAGGTCTCAACACACCGAATACAGCAAGATCAGCCAAATTAGGTTTAGACCCGCCTGTTAATAATCATGAAATCATCCATACATCATATTGAGACAAACAAGAAACACGAAGTGTGTATGAAGGAAGATGGGTGGTGCATGAATAACAAGAATGGAGATAGATGATGCAGACCTAGAAAATCACGGCCGTTCAATGCATCAACCCACGTCTCTGCAGCTTCATACAATGATGCACGCTCATCGGTGATGTTGTATTTTTTCTTCAAATTTTTGGATACGAAATACATAGCTGCAGCTCCTGCATACTTTGCCACCGTTCTCTCATAAAAGCTGAAATTGCCTGCTCAGAAAAGTAAGCACAAGTGAATCGGACTAGGGTATGTAGTTTGAAACATGACTGGGTGGGAAGAAAGAGACATCAAGTGCAATTCTTTCCTTGAAATGAAACATGACAGTAATATTGAGACGGAAAAAAAATGAAAATGATAAGCTAATTTGAGACGAGGGAGTAGAAAGGAAGCACTTCTACAGTCATCATTTTTTTTATCTGAAAAGTTGTTAAAACTAAAAGTTCCCATAAACACTTTGTTCTTGATGTTACAAGTGACGGCCTTGTTGATATTCAATGTGAAGATTCCTGAACAAGTTAAAGATTTCTAAAAATTTCCTCAAGATCCAATTGAGTAAAAGAAGAGCAAAATCTATCAGCTTTTTTGGTGTGGTGTTCACTAATATCTATTTTTACAGGATGCCATAGCGAATTGCAACCTCCCTCCATACGTCCATATAAGCTGCCAAAAAATATGAAATACTCCCTCCATCCCAAAACTAGAGTCTCCCTCTCTGCATAATTGGCATCCCGAAACTAATGTCCCATTTTAATTTTAGGTTTACCTATCCCATTGAAAATACAGAAAACTATAACGCCCCTATCTTTTCCAAGCACTTTTCTACCCACCCCTATTTACTTCCCACCTTCATTACACAAATTACATTTTCACACTATCATTTCAAGGACAAAATTGGAACGTCAAACACACTTAAAATTTGTCTTAATTTTTGTGAAGTCCAAGTAAGATTCTAGTTATGGGACGGAATGAGAAAAATCTAGAATACATCACTTTGCTTAGAAAATATACGCTGCCAAGAAAGTTGAAACGTGAGTTATAATATAACTAAAAATGAAGCAAAATAACACTTCATAATTTGAGCTATGAAACACTTAATAAATTTTGCAACAAAACTTTCATTCTGTAAAAATTTCATTCTACATGTCTCTTGTATTGGGTTGCACATTTGCATGTATATTGGCAATCTACCAACCAACCCGCTGCTTTGAACAGCATTCATGTGAAAAAATGGAAAATAATAGTACTCCATATTGTAATGCACAATATTACCTTGAGTGGTGATGTAGTCAAATGATTCCAAAGCTTCAGAAGCACTTCTATATATATTTGGAGATAAGATGTGCACCAAGTGATTATCCACCCACCTAACTCAAGAATATATCCATCATTATTTCATGATAATAACACTTCCTGATTGAGTACCATGCATATATTTTGGATTTCAAGATGTTTCACAATGCAAAAGTATCACTTCAGAACTGTTCATCATCTGAATGAGAGAAAAAACGTGCTTACTTGCGCCACTTGTTCTCTTCATCATTGTTTGAAGTAGACTTATTACCAATATTTGGCCGAACCTTTTGAGACAGCTTATCAATTATGTCTACATCCAATAAGAGCCATAAATTGGGAAATCAACCTAGCAAAAGGCTACATCCTAAAGCTATACTCAGCTCCAGGTCAAAATAAAATCATACACTACAGTTCACTTCATACGAATGAGAAAATGTAAGCTAATACGAGTATGAAGTATGATGCTGTAATGATGATTAAGAAACAAAAATCAAACAAATTCATAGAAACAAACCTGATGAATCCACCATTTGTGTGCCATCAACCATCAATATGGGCACTTTCTTGTAATCAGACCACTTGATTTCTTTTTTGCTAAGGGGGTTAACCTCCACAATTTTGTATGGAATGTCATAGTAGTCAAGGAATGCTGATAAAAGGCAGATCAGTAATCACCATCAGGCTGCCAGACAATAACAAAGCGAGAAATCTACTACGAAATTGTAATCAAATTATGCTTTTCCAACAATTCCAGTCTCGGAGTTAGTTTCTAAATTAAACAGCATTGATAATGATGCTCGAAATACGCTGAAATTTCTCAAATACAAAGGAACAAGGAAACGAATACCTTTGACCTTGTTGCAGAAAGGGCAGGCTTCGTACTGGTACAGAACGACATCATTGGGGCGAAAGTTAGGCGGGATCGGCTCTTTGGCGTGAGCCTCTTTGGCCAGCGTTGAGGCGGCGACGGAGAAAAGCACTGTTCCGGATAGGACGTGGGCAGAGGGACGATATGACTGATCATCGTGCTTATTATGGGAGAAGATGTGCGACATGGAGGATGAACTGTTGCGAGTGCTGTAGAGAGCCGACTGGATCAGCCGGTGCTCCCTGTTTTGCGCTGTGACGGTGGAAAAGCCCTTGGCGGATTGGAATGCGGCGGAGATTCCATGAAGCCTCCTCATCTCCGGAGATCTGAGATTTTCGGTCAGTTGCACGCCTGGAGGAAGATGATGGAACGTCTGAAATTGGAGGAGGTTTTGAGAGGGTTTTGTGGATTGCCAGTTGCCACGTTATGAGAGCCTTTGGGCCGCATTTGCCTTCGCCGCCAGCAGAAGAAGCCCAATTTTCCCTGGCTCGCAGGCCGTTGGTGGAGTTGGCGCCAGCCAAGTTTTAGACCAACACTCCGTTATTAAGCGGACCACTACATTTATACTAAAATTTGTATTCCGAACTTACACTAAAGGTATATACTAACATTCTGATGGTTTACACTGACACAAAATATTGGTGTGTTAATAAAAATTTACACTGACACACAGTGTTAATGCGTTAACAAGAATTAGCATTACACCAACACAAAATGTTGGTGCACACTTGCGGTGTACAAAATGTGATACAAATAACTTTATCCTTCTTAAAACTAAAATAGTACCGTAATAAAATATACCCGAAAACTATATTTTCTCTGTCTTAATTTAAATTATCTATTTTGATTTATAATGTTTGATTGAAATTGTTTACAAATCATTTTATATGAAAAATGATGTATAGTTAAAAAATAAAAAATTACATTTTAAAGATTACATCAAAAAATCTACAAAATTAGTTGTGACATAAATATATTATTTTATCAAATAATTAATAAAAATAAGAAAAAAAGTGAATAAAATTTGATCATGTAAATAGTAAATAAAAAATGTAATTTGCGGAGGAAGGAGTATTGTATAACAATCCAACAAATATTTAATTAGATTAATTTTTAAAAATATTTTCAAAAATTTATTTTATTTTGTTATTATACGGAGTACAATTTAGTACTATGTATATATCTAATTAATGATCAAAGTTTTTCTAATCTAACCCAAAACGTTAAAGTGGAATAATATACTACGGAGTAGTACATTTAAACAAATTTTATTCAATCATTTATTTTGTGAATTATTATCCCTTTTTACCATATAAATTTTTTAATTATTATTTCAATATCATAGTAATATTTTTGCATATACTCAGTAAGTGTTTTCACTGATAACTTATATATTCATTTTACTTTTTGTTTTGTATAGCTATTATTTTTATTTTTAAATATGTAGTATTCAAAATTTACTTTGTAGTTTCTATTCTTATATCAATTTTCAAACAAATACACGGTAACATTTAAATAGCTAGGTTATAATGACACACTCATTTCGTGTGTCGTGTTATGACACTCATTCAATTGAATTTGTTTATTGAATTATTTGAAAAATTGATGATTTCTATCTACTTAATCTCTTATATCGGCCAGACTCGAAGCTACACCACCTTCTTCAATTGGACCCCAAATTCAGTTGATTTTAAAGTTAATTTTTTTACACCAAAATAAACTACAATGGTGCTATTCAAGAGAGTGCAATGTGTTTCTCATGGTTAGAGATAGAATCATTTACTATTGTCTTCTTCCAAATTGAGTGTCATTACATTCATACTATGTATTTATTTTGAGTTTCATATTATGATATTTTTTCAAATATTGTACTATGTATCATCTATATTAATGTGAAGTACCTACATACTACAAATGGAGAACTAGATTTGTTTGAGAACAATATTTTTAAATATATCAATGTTTTGAATAAAATTTTAATGAAATAGATTAATTTTAAAAATATTAACAGAAGTAAATATTTGTTTCTTAAAATATTAGTTAAATTCTAAATAAATTACCAAACGGGCTTTAAACAGCTTTAATGAGGTGTCACCCCGAGAAACTGAATCTTAGAAGTTGAGTTGAGGCCTGCGTCTGAGAGCTGGCAATCCGCGGAGATGATGATCGGAGACGGGATCGAAGATGAAGAGAAATGGCTCGCAGAAGGCATCGCAGGAATTCAGCAAAACGCCTTCTACTTGCATCGAGCTATGGTATCTTTAAAATTGCCACTTTATCATCATGTGAGAACCCTAACCGTATCACGAATCACAATTCCGATTCACTGTGTCGCAGGATTCGAATAATCTCAGAGAAGCTCTCAAGTACTCTGCTCAATTGTTGTCCGAGCTGCGAACTTCGAGACTTCCGCCGCATAAATACTACGTGCTCTGTAATTTCCACTGATCCGTTTTTTTCTTTGCCTAATGTGTTTTCAACTCATATAATGTTTTTTATGTACAATGTTGGTAGACATGCGAGCATTCGATGAGTTAAGGAAGCTGGAGCTGTTCTTTAAGGATGAGGATCGCCATGGATGTTCAATTGTTGACCTATACGAACTTGTCCAACACGCTGGCAATGTTCTACCTCGACTGTTAGTCTCTTCAACCTGGCTTTACTGAATTACTTCATTGCATCCCTCATGATTACTTTTTTTGGACACAAGGGAATGCATATTCATTTGAAGCTTCAAGACATTACTACTTGCTTTTCAAAGAGTGGGTGCACAATCGTGCACCCCGTGCGTCATGAACTATTTTGGAATCATGTATGAGAATTGAGAAGTGTTCAAAACAATATACACATTACTAAGTATAGGTTGATATGGCACTATATAGAAATTAGCTGTGTTACCTAATATGTTCTTTCTCAATTGTTTGCCTTGGCTCTTTGGAGATTGAAATGTAGGAGTCCTTGTTTTACCTTAGATTGAGAAAAAATAATATGGATACCTCTGACAAACAGAAATTAATGGATATTGTTGGGAAAGTTACCTCAATTTTCTAGCGGAAGCAATTAATAATTTCCCGTCTCTGTGTTGTCAAAATGAGCAAAATCATATGACTGATCAAGAATAGTAAACACACCCAAAAAATAATCAATCAAGCAATAAACAGACACCAAGATTTATGTGGAAAGCCCAAGTCAGGGAAAAGACCACGAGACCGTAAGCACGGTACCAATCACCTTCCACTAATCACTAAGAAATTCAGCAGGTACAACCAAGAATCCTCCCTAAATCAGTTAGAGGTATACACAATCATCAAGTAAACAGTAAACACTTAGAACACCAAACAACAATAATCTTCACTCAAAGAGTGAGAAATACCCAAAAAATGCAGCAGCGAACACAGGACAAGTTTACCATTGTCGAGAGGCCAAAACAACAATCCCACCGTTGGATATGGAGAGAATGATGTCTGGAAAAACAAACTAAAAGTTCATCCCAATTGGAGTTCGTTTGGTCGTAGACCAGAGCACAAAACCTGGATTGCAACTCTCTTTTTCTCCCTTTTCTCTCTCGGCTCAAAACTCTGGTCTCTCTCTTTTCTGCGGCTGTTCCGTGAAAGGCTACTGCCAAGTACCAAGCCTTTTAAATTCTTTGATTTTAGTTGCCACCTTTTCAGATGGGCCAGCCCACTTTGAGCCCAATCATAATTATGTAATATTGATATTATTATTATTATTATTATTATTATTATTATTATTATTATTATTTTAATCGCACTTCTAAACCAATATCATATTTAACACCAAATGTATGGTTTAGGAAGTCATTCCTCCATGTAGGAAGGATATCCCAACAGATATGTCATAACATTTGTTATGGCACTTACCTCATCTAATTATATTTTTCTTTGTTTGGAGAGGATACTTCCATGGCCTTTTGAATGCAAAAGGAGAAAGGAGGCTATATGAGTTGGAGAAACATTGAGACTCTGGGTATTGTCGGTGCATTAGTGAAGTGAAGGTGGTGAGGGCTATCTAAGGAATGAGGAGGAGATCCTTGGGCCGGATGAGATCTCGATGGAGTTTTGGAAGTCGGCGGGCAAAAATGTGTTGGTTTGGGTAATCAAATTCTTCAATGTTACTTTTAGGGTGGGTAAGGTGCCTGGTATGGACGTGTGGGCAGACAATGTTTGATAGATTCAGAATGAGGTTATCTGGAGATGGGTGAGAGTGAAATACATGGAGGATAAGCTACGAGAGACTAGGTTGAGATGGTTTGGTCACATGAAATAACGTAACATTGAGGCCCCAGTGTGGAGATGCGAAAGGCTTGCAATAGTGGGTGGGGTGGGGGGAAGGAGTAGGCCTAGGAAGAATTGGAAGAAGGTGATTAGATATGATTTAGGACTTCTTGCCCCGACCGAGGAATGAGGATATGATCTCAGATAATAACGTCTAGCACTACTAGGGTAGTTGGATAGTTGTTTGGATATGTGTCGTATTTCCTGATTTTTTTGTTGTGTATTTTATGGGCTCGGGGTCTTGTTGCTTCCAGTTCCTTGTGTGTCTTTGCCTGCTTGCGCTTTTCGCACCCTCAGTTTGCTCTTTTTTATTTATCTTTCCATGTATTTTCTGTGTTGCTCGGGTTTGTAGGGGTATATACCACTATTTGAAATGGCATGACGTAACCTTCCATATGGCGCGCCTCGTGGCAATTTCCAAAAAAATTACGCCTTATGGTGATGTACCATTGCGCAACAAGGGTGTAAGAGATAATACGCAAATATGGCGGGCAATGACGGAAGCTTTTTGAGGCGTACGCCACGAGACTATTAGAAGCGTACACGATGTCTCTCCCTAAAAATTAAGATTGGGGTAAAATAAGTAATTCATTAAAAAAACTCAAAAGTTAAACTACATAATTAAGCCTTAACCCTAGTAGATCGCCTCTCCTATTCGTTGAGCATCATCTTTCTTCTTCGATTTCTATGCACCTCTACTCATCTATCGCCTCTATTTTCTGCCAGGTAAATTTTATGGAGTATTCTTATTATTTTCGTTTTTGAATTATTCGTCAGGCATCATCATCTTCCTTATCACTCTCAGATTCTTGTTGGTTTTTATATAGTATTTTTTAAAGGTTTATGGAGTATTGACTTTGGCTGCATTCTGTTTGCCTTATCTGATCTGATCTCCTTTTTTAAAGATCTGATGTGGTCTGATTGGATCTGATCTGATCTGATTGAATCTGATCTGGTCTGATCTGATTAGATCTGATCTGATATAAATTCAGTTTAAGTTTAAATTAAAATTATTATTATTATAATAGTTATAATAATACAAATAATAATAATAAGAAAATAGTAATAATACTAGTAGTAATAATAATAACTATAATAATAAAACCAGTAATAATAATAGAAATAATAATAATAATAACAATAATAATAATAAATCATAATAATAGTAATAATAATAATATTATTAATAGTAATATTAATAATAATTATAGTAATAATTATAATAAAATAGTAATACTTATTATAATCACAATAATAATAGTAATAATAAAAATAATAGTTAAAATAATAATGGTAATGATAATTGTAATAATAATAACCATCATAATAAGAATAGTAATAAAATAATAATAGAAATGATAATAATAATAGTAGAAATATTGATAATAATAATAATAGTAATAATAATAATAGTAATAGAAATAGTAATAATAACAATAGTAATAATAATTATAATCATAATAATAATATTAATATTAATATTTGTAGTAGTAGTAATAATAATAATAATATTAACAATAAGATTAATATCAATAGTGATAATAATAGTAGTAATAATAATAATAAGAGTAAATTCCATAAAAGGTCCTCAGTTATAGGTTGTTTTACATATTTAGTCCCTACATATCAAATATTACTAATTTAGTCCCTAATTATTATAGTCATTTCCACAAATGGTCCTTTGTTAACATTTCCGTTAAGAACGTGGATAAAATTGTAAATTCACACTCCTTTCTCTCCTCAATTAAGCTTGCTCCCTCCCCTCGCACTCCTTTCCCAAACCCGTCGCTGAGTTTGAAGCTTTGAACCCAAAATCGAAATCATCACTCTTCTCTCAATTGTTTGTCTAACTGGTGGAACCCAAATTCGAAACCAGTAACCTTCATGGATGAGTTTTAATGTTTATTTTCTTTGCAATTTTTTGAAACTAACCGATAAAACTCATCCATAAAGCTTTTTAGTTTTGATTTTAGGTTTCACTAAGAAGACTAATAATTGAAAGAGGAATGATCATTTCAGTTTTGGGTTTAGAGCTTCAAACTCAGCGACGAGTTTGGGAAAGAGTACGAGAGGAGGGAGGAAGCTTAATTGAGGAGAGAGAAGTATGAATATACAATTTTATCCACGTTCTTAACGGAAATGTTAACAAAGGACCATTCGTGTGAAAATGAATATTATAATTGGGGACTAAATTAGTAATATTTGATATGTAGGGACTAAATATGTAAAACGACTTATAACCGGGAACCTTTTATGGAATTTACTCTAATAATACCAATAGTAATTATAATCATAGTAATAGTAATATGAATAAAATAATACTAATAGTAATAATAATAATAATGTTTAGATATGATTTGATAGGACTTGATATGATTTGATGTGTCTGATCTGATTGGATCTGATCTGGTCTGATGTGATAAAACTTAAGTAGCCTGGATGCCAATTTGATATGTGATCGGCGTTCAGGCTACTTAAGTTTTATCGCTCCATTTGTTTTTACCCATATATATTTGTTCAATGTTAGCAATCTATTCTAACTCATTCAACATTAATTTAAGGTTTTTATTTTTATTGTTATTAATTTCTCATTTACATATATAAATTTTTAATTTTGTTTTTTTAGTTAAACAGATCGCTTAAAATGTTATATCCAGACTTTTGAAGTTTAAATTTGAGGCTTACGCCTCAATGCGACTTGACATAAAAATGCCTCGAAATCTCAATATGTAATTTTGAGCATTGGTACACACACCTTCCCCAGACCCTAATTTCGTAGGATCCTACTAGGTTGTTGTTGCTGCTGGACTTTGGACATGAGTACATCAGTACATGACATGTTAGGCCATGTTCTCTTCACCTGATATGGATGGTTCTGATTTGATTGGAATAAGTTCTGATCTGGTCTGATCTGATCTGAATGTAGTTATATTTAAAACTATTTCTGATCTGATTTGATTCCAATAAGAAAAAGTAATAAGTAATAAGAATAAGTTGAAGAGAATATGGCCTTAATTCAGGAATCTGATTTCTTATAGTGCATATATGTAAATCAAATATGGCATTATGTCAGGTATCTCCTATGTACTGTTGGCTCAGTGTACATCAAATCAAAGGAGGCTCCTGCAAAGAATATACTGAAAGACCTTGTTGAAATGTGTCGTGCCGTTCAACATCCTATACGTGGACTTTTTCTGAGGAGCTATCTTGCTCAAATTAGCAGGGATAAGTTGCCAGACATTGGTTCGGAGTATGAAAGGTAAAAGTTCTGCCTTTCTCCAATTTTTGTGCACCTGGCAGAATATGAATGCCCTTTGTAGTGCATAAATTAGGAGCTATGATGCTAGGCTGAGAGAAATAATGACAGATCTAAAGTATAGAAACAATGTGTTTTTATTGTGGAACTGTTTTCCAGAACAATGTGCCCATACATATAAATAGATAGAGGACTAAACAACACAACCATTACAAATAGACACAACAGTTTCTAACCAACACATCTGTTGGAAACTGTCATAAAACTGCCTGTAACTAGTAACTGCCTAACTGCCTGACTGTCTACCTTTTTTTTTTTTTACTTATTTATTTTTAAACTTAAACTATATTCTGGACTGGAATTAACCAACATTCACCCCCTTGA